TTTTTTTTTTTTTTTTTTAATTACCTTTCTAACTTGATCTCCCGATCTCCTCATTCCTCCTCTTCGGCTAGAGATGTTCCAGGTTCAGACAGTTTCCTTCTGTCTCTTTCCGTTCTATACGGCCTCAAGATATTCGCTCAACCAGCCTGGGACAGGATATTAACTTCGTTAGCTCGTCTGCTTTTCTTTTCTTCTGTTTCTGTTTTCTGCCACCAATTGCTACCGATAAACCCTTGATCAGTTGATCGAAAATATGGAGAGCGGCTCCAGAATTGATCAGCATATCGAAATGGACAGGCGTTCGTCAAGACGAGCGCAAAGAGCAAGTGCCAAAGCTTCTCAGGGAAATGCAGACCTGGGAAGGACCTCGAATTCCTCACCACCGGCGGAGATACGCCAATCCTCTACCTTACTTCCCACGCATAACAATGAAAAAGTCGGTTCCGATTCCAGTCTCTCTCGTCGCCGAATGTTTCGTGTGGACACTGCTGGAGAAAGCGGCAGAAGGGGAATCCATCCCATCCATTTCCTCCAGGTCTGCTTCAAGAGTACCTGCACCTTGTCAATGCTAGTGAATATTCTCTGGCCCGTTGTTCCGGCAGCGATTGCCATCCATTTTGCTCGACCCGATCTTCATGTTTGGATATTCGCCCTCAATTACATCGCAATGGTGCCGTCGGCAAACCTCCTGGGATTTGCCGGTGGAGAACTCGCCAAAAAGCTTCCTAAAGTACTGGGTGTCTTGTTGGAAACAACCTTGAGCTCAGTCGTTGAGGTCGTGCTTTTCATGGTTTTAATTCACAATGACAACAACGGGCAATTGATTCCTGTCATTCAAGCCGCTATTCTTGGTTCTGTGCTGGCGAACCTTTTGCTTTGTTTGGGTATGTGCTTCTTCTTCGGAGGCATCGGGCGTAGCGAACAAAGCTTCCATGAGGCCGTCAGCGAAGTTGGTTCGGGGCTGCTGCTAGTTGCGGGCTTTGGGTTGCTGATCCCCAGCGCCTTTTATGCGGCCCTGGCGAGCAATTCGACCAATGTCCAGATTACCCGCCCAGAACTAAATAGGGCCACTTTGACAATCAGCAGAGCCACGGCCATCATCCTTCTTTGTGCCTTTATCATGTGAGTCCCTGACAGGCAAGGCCCGCATTTTTGCCATCCCACTCGCTAACCGATTTCACTCCAGGTATTTGGTTTACAATCTTCATAGCCACCACTCGATTTTCGATGAAGTTCTCGAATTTGATGAGGCTCAGGACGAGGACCGAGAGAAAGAGGCTAGAAGAACCAAACTCACTTTGACCGAATGCTTGGTGGCCATAGTGATATCACTGACCTGCGTTTGTATGTCTGCTGTTTTCCTGGTCCAGGAAATCGAACACATTGTCGAGGAGCGGGGCGTGTCGGATAATTTCATGGGTCTTATCCTGGTGCCTCTGGTTGAGAAGGCCGCAGAGCATCTGACAGCCATTGACGAAGCCTGGTAAGTACATTACCCATTAGGTCAATAATCACAACAGCCGTGTAACTGAACCATGCAGGGATAACCAAATCAATTTCGCACTCTTCCACTGCCTCGGCCCATCCATCCAGACTGCCTTGTTAAATGCGCCCCTGGCAGTTATTGTGGGTTGGGGTCTTGATAAGGACCTAGGGTTGAACTTCGAGATCTTCATGATCGTTCTCGTTGTGCTGGCCATCCTGGTCGTTGGTAATTTCCTGCGAGATGGCAAGTCCACCTGGCTTGAAGGTGGTCTCTGCGTGCTCATTTATGTAATTATTGCGGTGACCACTTGGTATTATCCCAAGGTTGAGCCAACAGAGTCAACATTGCCATGAGGTTTGGCATTCTCCACAGCCAGCCCATTTTTTAAAGCGTTTCCATTTTCTGGACTTGGGCTGTTCCCTGCATATATAAGTCTCATGAATTGATCTGCCTAGTTTTTAATGACGAATCTGATTTTCAATATAATGTTTTTGCCTGATTCTAAAGTAGGAAATAGCCCCAACCATGCAATAACAGAACGAGATCAGATGAAGATCAGAGATATATAGTTTTGATTTAAAGAAGAATAACATGTACCACAATGAGTCATAAATGTGAATTTGACTATGGAATCCCCTTAATCATGGGGTCCTTTTTGTGTGTAGGCCTTCGAGTGTAGCTCCGAGCGGAGAGAAACGCTGGCCGACGGTTCCGCACTGTCAACGAGTCAAACACCGCAAAACAATGGAATGCACGAAGAAGAATCCGGCAGATATACTCATATCTGCGTTGAAAGAACGCAATATATCGGTCAAACGAAGCGAAATCGAGTCCACTTTTGATAACGAGGCTGGTAGCGCCGAAAGTGCGAAATGGGTATCGGAGCATCTCGGCTATGACACTTTGTTGACAAAGGAGGAGCTCGCTCTGTATGTCTTTCTCTGGCAATATTTGAAAAACTATGTCGATAATTCAGCTAACATATCCATAACAAGATACTCTCAATTAGAATCTTCCGGTACTCTACAACGTATCCTCCACGACCCAGGCCTCGCTTCGACCCGACCGCTCTTTGACGAAGATATCCAGAATGCGATCGGATCCCTGAAAGCCTCAACGGAGGCTATCCAGAAGCAAACAGAGATCTTAACCACCCAATGCGAGACCTTGAATAAACAGCTTCGCCTCGATGACAATCGGGCCATCAGGCAGAACAGGGATATAGAACGGCTTCGCAAAAAGCACGAATCAAGCAGGCAGAGTGCCAATGCAGCGGTAATGACCTCATGCTGTGCATTTGTGTAACATGCCACTGACAGGATACAGTCCAATGACCTTGTCCAAGAGTTGGAAGCCAACCTGAGAGCTGAGACGGAGAAAACCAGATTGGATGGGAAAAAGATACTGTCCTCGCTGACGTCTAGATTAAAGGAGGATGATAGGATTCTGGCAAGGTTGGAAAGACTCGCATCCGGGATCAAGTCTACTGGAAATGACGCCTCTGTAGCCAAACGTACCGAGCAACTGGGGGCTGTGCTCACAGAGTACGTCGCGGAAGAGATCCATTACCGTCTTGATCGCTTGTATTTGGAAAGCATTCAGGCCGATCAGGCAGGATCTAAGCAGGCAGCAGAGGAGCATGAGGAGGAAGCGCTGGCTGCATTGAGAGAGGAACTGGAGTCACTATATCCGGAAGTCGATGTTCTGGCCGAGATGTCCACAAGACAACAGTTCAGCGAGCCGGTTTTGCGTGAGCTCCAGAATCGCCACGGGCAACTACGCAATGCCTCCCAGGGCAAGCTCGAATATGTATGCCATTATTTTATCATGACTGTTGGGTAGACAACTAATTTTTTACAGGTTCTCGATACAATTATGGAAATGACATCTTCCACGGAAAGCCTAACCCAATGCTTACAAGACCGCGAATCATATTGTCAGACTCTGGAGAGCCTCATCAGCATTTACCGGTCTGAAGTGAGTGATTCGTTCTCGGAAAAGACGACATCCAAACGGGATACAATTCTAAGGAGGCGTTCCACGCAGCCGCAGTCACTTTTCAGCTCTCCCGAAAAGCAAACTGCTCCACTCCCGGACTCACTGGCCCTCGCAAGCCTCCTGCGGCGCGTGGGCCTCTCATCCGAATCAATCTTCAAATCCGAGGAAGAGGATGGAGGTGCAAATGCCCTATACGAGAAAAAATCGCACATGTTGGAGTACTTTCGGACATTGGGCATTGGTTCTGGTTTGCCACTTGTGACGGAACTGATTCCAACGGATCGAGCGTCTCGACTTCTTTCTGCCTCCCTGCATGCAGACTCGTATTTTGAGACTTCACTTTCAAACATTGAACAGAACCAGAGCCTCGCGGAATTGGAGGCTCAATTGGGCTTCATTCGGAAAGGAGTGGAGAACCTCAATCTGGATGCGCTTCATCGGCGCGACAAGAACCAGGATAAATTCCTTGAACGATGGGAGCCATAGCTTCACTTTTTGCATGTCTGTCTTGACGATCACCTCCGCGATCTATCTGCCCATAATGATGCTATGTTTGCCCTGTACACTACAAACCGTCTCGCGGCCTGATATTATAAATATTATTACCAATTATGTACTACCTAGGGTAGATTTGATATCCCTACAAATCCTTCTCATGCAACTGCGGCAATGCATGATGTGCAGCAGTCCACTATCCAACAACGTCTAAATTATCTGATTTGATCCTACAACGTGGCTGGTGTAGTCTAGTCCCGCGCCACATGCACTTGAGATGGTATGCCCTCTATCGCAATCTATTGTCACCTGCGAGGCTGTCAAGGCGCACTCCGTGCACTTATTGCACTTCCACACCAGCAGGGATGATGGTGTACTCTGTACATCACAAGTGTACAGTAGATCTTACAACGCTCTCTATGAACTTTATTTAATTATTTTAATTTATGATCATATTTCTTTTGAGTTAGACCGTTCTCTCCATATCATCGTTCAATATACAATGACCACTATCTAGTAGTCCCTGCTGACTCGAGCTGCGCCCCTGTGACCAAGGGCGAACCAGCCACACCATCCCTCTTCCTTTCCGTCATTGCTCACCAGTGTTTGGGGCTTGATCACGCAGGGTTCTGTTGGTTTTTTGTTTTTTTTGTTTTCTTTTTTCTCCAAGAATCGTTCAAGTTCTCCGTCTGTTTGTCGGTTCTTTTTGTTGCCTTAACCTCTTAATTCTAAGGATTGGATTTGATTGTTAAGAGAGTAAATTGACGGCAAAGGAGACTGACTTCTGTTAGGCTACAGCGGGATAGCGTTTCGTCATGGTCAATTCCTTTGTATATAAGGAGTCTTGTCTCCTTGGGGAATATCTGTCATCTGAAGGGAGCGGGATGAAAGAGGAAAAGTGAAAAGACAAAGCCTTTATTCATTTTTTTTTTTTTTTAATAAAAAAAAAAATCTACGACACTATGTCCGTGTTCTTTTATATCAGATGTCTTAAGCTTATGACAGCAGCCACATGTCTTTGATTCATGACATTGTCCTTGTGTCTGGTGTCGCAAACAGAAGCGCAATCCATCTTTTGTCCTTTTCTTTCTCACCTCTATAGCTGTTATTATGCCCTGTCTTTGTTATCGTGGAAGAATACATCTTTGTCCGAGTTTTCAATCTCGTCCGAAGTGTTCTCTTTCAGTCCCGAGGTATAGCAAATCAACTCAATGGTACGACATCCCCGAGTCCTTTTAAAATGTTGGATCACAACATAATAAGAAGCGACGTGCCGAATTGAGATACTCACAGATGTTCATTCACAGGAAATTCGAACCAGAAAGATAATCCGCACCTGTCTGTTCAGTCCAGGCCGAGGAGGGACTTGCAGGCGTACGCTGGTATATGACCACGGCAAAATGTATCATATACAACGTTTCCGTCTCGAGAGGCGGCGGGGGATGCCCTCGCCCTCACCACCTAGATCTCAAATGACCCAGCCGAGTGAGTCACGACGCTCAACTCTAACCATTGAAAGCAGAAGACCATCACCACCGCCGAGGCGTCAAAGCAGCCCGGTCCGAATACACCTACCTTTCCCGAGAAGAACTTTTTCCGAGTCTGACAACAATCAAAAGAGCCAGACGCACAGAAGGCGTGAAAGCGGTTCTCGTCCTTTCATAGTCGACCCTCCCGAGAGACACAGATCCGAGCGGCGGAGCACTCAGCGGCGCAGCCAAACCACTTCACCACAGCGTAGGTCTCCTGTCTCAGATCCCAGGAGGCAGGAAGGTCCATGCAATCACGCGCTTTCGATCCCGAGTCATCAAGACTCTCAAGCGAATCATGAGCCTCGCCGTCCAAGAGAACGATCACCTGTTGTCGAGCGCGTACCTATCCGGCGACGAAACTCACCACCTCGCCCTCGGGTTGTGGAAATCCACAATTATAGATCAGAAGACAAGAAATCTCCCAGAACTAGCAGCCGTGAAAGAAACGGGGAGAAGAGGGTGCATTTCGCCAGCGACGTTGAATGCGAAACAACTCATGAACGGGATGCGCCGGTTGAAAGGGATAATCATAGTGGTCGACAGGATATCCCTGGGCCACATAGAAGCAATTCTTTTAGTGACGATAGAAGTCGAAGCGATGAGATCGTCGAGGAAAGAAGGCGTCCACAACAGCCACAAGAGCGACATACAAGAGAGCCTTCACCGTGGCCTGGGAGGCAAAGGGAGACGCAACGAGACCGCGCCGCCCCTAACATAATCCACGTTCGACCAAGGATAATCCAGGACGGTAACCGGCATCTCTCCAGAGTTGGAGAGCGCATTTGTACGGAATTCCGCAGAACGCCAACCTATGAGACCTATCGGGATGGATTTGAGCCGCAAACGATTCGAAGGCCGTTAAGGGGATTCGGTCGTGTTCGGACGTATGATATCAGAAACGAAAGGATACTCATTTACGACAGAGAGCGTCCGCGTTGGCGCTGAGCATTCGTTCGCCCAGAAACCGCGTGGATATGAAGTCGCAAGGGCAATTTTTCCTTTGTTGTTTGTTTATGTATGCCTGTGTTTGTTAGTTCTCTGTATGTTCAGCATGTTGTATTTGTTTCTTTATCAGCGTTGCTTTTATATGGTGAGCATCGGCGTATCCCTGGTTAGTCAAATGAAATATAGCATGTCCATTCGAGTCATCTCATAGAATGCTCCATTGAGCTGTAGTCGTTTTTTGTATAGTATTTTCCTGAGATGGGCTGTTGTGTTCGGGAGATGAAGATAAAGGAGGGGACTTTCTTTGTTGATCGGCTGAAAGAATGTCCGAATAAGTTCTTCTCAGCCAAGCTCTCGTAGTCGGCAATTACCTTCTAATCAACCATACAATAAATATGTGTGCCTGACTCGTTTCGCTTTTCTGTTTTTGTTTTTCTTTCTTTCATATCCTTCCTTTAGAAGTTTATCTCCAACCAATTCCTTGTTTTCAGTCATTCCTTTAGAGTGAGTGGTTCTATGCGAAAACAGCTTCCGGGTTCGCAGAATTGGAAACTAATCTTTAGAGTTGTTTCAAGACTGCTATATTCAGCTGGCAGCTGCTCAGACAGCTGCGTGGAACCCGGACCATCATTGCCCTTTTGCCAGCGATTGCCCGCGTTCCATCGTCGTCGCCGCCGCCACCCGCCTCGATCCTCGGCCTTTGTATACAAGGGTCATCAATTCTGCTGACTCGAAACCGGGACCGGCCCAACAATGCAATTCTCACACAAGGAATCGATCTCTATTTACAAGTTCAAAAAAGTCGTTGTTTCGTGACGCCCTCTTTTGATGTCTTTCGCGTTCTGTCGCAACAAATGATTCGAACATGGCACCCAGCATGCAAGAAACACAATACCCATCCGAAGGCACGAGGGCGTCACAGAACCAGAATTTTTCGAATTCCAGTGTTGATAAAGGAAAGGATGTGCCAACTGAATCGGCATCGCATGGCATCGCAGACGTTTTTGATATCTCGCCAGCTGCGGCTTTGGAGCTGTTATGCTTCAATATCGAGAGCCTTGCACAGTCAACTACCCAAACACCGACGGATCCCCTAGTGAATTCTCCTGGTGCTCATGGCGAGGATTATCAATACAATGCCTCCAATGGGGAAGCACCCATACAAATAAGAACTGCCGAACTGCATGCCCCACCAACAGCTGATAACACGGCTGGCCAGGATATCCTTCAGCTTAGTGTGCTTTTGCGAAAATTTGTGTCGAAAAAAGAACCGCCCATCTCATTACGGGATTACCTGTTACGACTTCACAAGTACTGCCCCATGTCCACAGCAGTCTATCTTGCTACCAGCATTTATTTTACCAAGATGGCAGTCGTCCAACGGATGCTGTCTATTAACCCGAAGAATATGCATCGTCTTATCCTTGCTGGTCTTGGGGTAGCGATGAAAGCGTTGGAAGACCTTAGTTACCCTCATAGTCGAGTTGCGAAGGTTGGTGGAGTGAGTGAGCGCGAACTTTCCAAGATCGAAATCAGCTTCTGCTTTCTGGTGGATTTCAAGCTGCGGGTCGACGCTCAGATGCTTCTGGATGAAGCGCAAGATCTAATTCAAAGGTGTATGAGTTGCGAGGGAGCGTCAGAAATCCATAATGGCAAGAAAGGCACGTAAATGGTGGTGGCAGCGGGTCGCACACAGATCCTCCATGCCGATACAATGCCGATTGCACCAGTATTGGCCCAATGGTTCTTGGAAATGTCGCCCACTCCGTAGGGCTGACGAGGAATCGGTGTGGAATACAATGCGGCTGCCTAAAGCTCTAAAGATTGGCTGAGTCAGCCCAATTCCGGATAACCCCCAAGTATACTGGATTATACAGATGCGTAAAGAAGAATGAAGAGAAAGGGAAAAAGGAAAATGGTATGTCAAAATAGTAGCCACTTATATGCATGTACATACAGAATAGACACCGCGAATGGATTATAATCATTCCTTAAGCCCTATTGTACCTGTCATCTAATCTTCATTCTTAGCGTCTGTCCGCGGCCGCTTCAGCGGGCCAAAAAATAACATCCCCATCTTTTTCCTTCCCTCCCTTCCTCTCAGACTTCGGTTCTATTCTCTGAAAAGCTGCGACTTCTCGGAAGATATATTCCTATCCTGACTTCTCCAATCGACGCTCGTGGATTCGCAATGGTCTTTTAGATGCAGTTTTGTCGAGATCATAATCCTCCGAAACGCTGCCACCTGTCTCCGCTGCCTTGACACTCTCCCTTACCGCCGAAAGTGAACGCAAAGTGTCTGCTCCCCCTTTTCCCTAAAACCCGCTATATTTACTTGCGTACCAGATATGTCTGAATCGCAGAGCAGCGGTAGTAACGCCGTGGGCGTGGCTCCAATTTCGCCGCAAAACGCCAATGGGAAAGGGACACCTCCGAAGGCGACGCCGCACGATACCAACGTTGAACTCAAAACCATGAATCCAGAACGTGCATCTGTGAAGGGCTCAATTCCGCTCGGGGAGGATATCATGCAGATTGCCCGGATAGGGGAGATTTCGGCCATGCAAAGGATATTCGAGGAAAAGAAGTTGACAGCCAACCACAAGGACGAGGAAGGAATCACACCGTTACATGTGCGTATCTATCCAGTTTCCCAGTGCCTATGTTATCGGCGCATTTGCTGACTGTTTGTGACTGGTCTTGCTTTAGTGGGCCGCAATCAACAATCAATATGCGATGTGCAAGTTCTTGTTGGACTCGGGAGCGGATGTTAACGCCAAAGGAGGAGAATCCGTCGCTACGCCGGCGATGTGGGCTGCCCAACGTTGCCATTACTATATCGTTCACCTCCTGCTTCAGTGCGGCGCGGATCCTCTTCTTACCGACGTTCAGGGCTACAACATTCTACATTTGGCAACCATCGATGGTAATGCGTTCTTACTCGTGCTGCTTCTACATCAAGAAATACCGGTGGATGCTATGGATCAACAAGGCCATACCGGGCTGATGTGGGCGGCATACAAAGGGTTCCCGGCATGCGTAGATCTGTTTCTGCGCTGGGGCGCCAATACCAATGCGGTCGACGAGAGTGGATTGACTCCTCTCCATTGGGCATTGGTAAAGGGATCGCTGCCCTGCGTCCAGAAACTTATCGAGTATGGCGCGGATCGGTTCTCAAAGACGAGGGATGGCAAGGCACCGGCAACGGTAGCTTCGGAGATGAATACTGTGCGAGTGTGGTATCGAGCCCTTGACGAATGCGGTTACGAGTTTGATGGAAACCCCAAGGCTCTTCCCATGGGACTGGCGAGCTGGGTGCGGAACAAGAGCATCATGTCAAAGTTCTTTTTCCTTTGGCCGTTTCTCATGGTATTCGTTGCTACGTGGATTCTCAGCAACATGGCCATTTATGCGTCCATCCCTGCAATGCTCATTACCGTATTCGGCCTGCAGTATGTTGCTCAAAAGGCTGCCAGTAAGGGTCCATCAGAGTATCGGGTCCTCCAGAGAACGGTAAGTTCGTGTCGCGTATGTGTCTGGCCTTGATGCTAACTGAATATAGCCCTATTTATCGGGAGTGTTTGCTGGGTCTCTATTCTGGGTTGGTATCAGATACGTCCTTAATGTGCTGCCAGGTAAGTATAAATCTTTCGCTTTGTGATGAATTCAAAGGTTGTGAACTGATTGTTCTTTAGTTACTTACTCTACAAATCCGATTCTGAACGTGTTCTTTTCGCTCTTCTTCATAACGACAACTTATTTCTACATCATCTCAATGGTTGAAGACCCTGGTTATGTCCCCAAACTCGGCAGTAGGAACCAGCAGAGGTCGGTCATTGCCGAACTTTTTGAATCGTGGAAATTCGACGAAGAGAATTTCTGTGTCTTCTGCATGATCCGAAAGCCGTTGCGTAGCAAGCATTGCAGACGTTGCGGGCGATGTGTTGCCAAGCACGACCAGTAAGGAAGCCTTTCTAACTGTCCATTAAGAGACGTTGAAGTACTAACCATGCGGTAGCCATTGCCCCTGGATTGACAATTGCGTTGGCGCGAACAATCTGCGCCACTTCGTATTGTATATCGCTTGCCTTGGGATCGGTATCACCCTCTTCGTGCTGTTGACAGTCTCCTGTAAGTGTTTATTTGTAATGGGAATGAAGTGCTTGTTAGCTAACAAACCATTCAGATATCAATATTCTGCCGGCACCAACTGAACTGACATGCAGTGTCATCAATGATACGCTCTGCAGCTATGTGCTCCGTGACACCTTCACTCTCATTCTTGACTTGTGGATAAGCATTCAGCTGGTCTGGATCACAATGCTCTGTGCCGTTCAACTGGTCCAGGTGTCACGAAACCAAACGACCTACGAGAACATGCGAGGCCACTCGATTGACAGAAGTTATCCCAGCTCCCGAGCTCTCGCGTCGGCCATGACAGCAGGGACAACATCATTCGACGCTGCTGGACTTTCCGCCAGTGGACAAGGACCAAACCCACATGGCCGTGTTCGAAAGCATGGCTGTATCCAACAATGGTCATCTCTGCTTGGTGTTGACGCCTTTTTTGCGACGGCACGGGATGGTTTGCGGGATGGGCCCCGCGTAGCACGGCCTCGGAATCCTTTCTCCCGGGGGATTATCACCAATTGTCGGGATTTCTGGTGTGATCCAGCACCGTACTTGGGGAAGCGCGAATCTGGCGCTGCAATGCTTGAGGGTGAAATTGTCAATTATAACCGGATGTATGAGACACCAATGCGTATGCGTGCTGGTGGTGGATCAAGATTCGGAGGCGCGTACCAGAGCGTGGCCGGCGAAGACCATGTTTGAACTTGCTGGTCATTGAGCAATTCCATACATTCACATCTTAAGGCATCGTTTATGCTAAAATTCAGACCTCCGAGTGGAGTATAACGAAACGAATCTCGAATGAATTTTCAATCTTTGCATGATTTACCTGTCCGACGTTAGACGACGTTGGCGGTATCTCTTTTGGCTTGTTTTTTTTTTTTTTTTTCCTCCCACGTTATGTGCTCGAATTCCACCAGCTAATTCGCCAGCCATTACATACACTGACAAGGATTATAGTGTATGGGTACTGTGGTGACAGGCAAGCAAGCAACGAGTTGTAATAGGCTAGGTCCATGTACAGGGGGGGTTATGCAATATGCATGATGACAGATTATTTATACACAGCTAGGATAATTTGCTAATACATACGAATGTTTAAATACACTTCAGGGTCTAGCCATTCAAGCGGTAATTTTGAAGAACGAATTTCACTCATTTGTTACGACTTTGTTGGCTCTAGAAGGCTAGAAGGGTGATCTTGATTTGCAGTTGCAGTTGATCGTCTCTGCATCGTCCCATCTGACCATTATACCTGTGACACGGCGTTTACTGTTCCTGGGTGTGCAGGGGTCGTTGGAGACTTGGGCATGGACATTGGGGTATAATTGACGATGGATTATGATCCCGGCAAGAAGATTATGCGACGGGATTTCTGAAATAGGGTGCATACATGCATTCGTTAAGTAGCCAATTGAATTGCGTCGCATTGCGCGATTCTTACCCCATGCTTCAACGCTTGACTAGACCTCATTCTGACCATAGCTTTCTCATTCGATTAGGTAAACCAAGGTTTGTCCTATATGAAGAATGTGCAGTATACTGCTAGGATGCCACGCTAGATTTCCAATAACATGCAGGAGTACGTGTGTTTTCAGTTGCCATCCGACATAGCTGTTTATTACCACCAAGCCACGAAAATGAGTGTCCCATAGCTTAAACAGTGGTACCTATAGAATTCTACTCCGAGCTGATTATCAGATAATCAACAGTATCGACAGTATCAATCAAATCAATCAACCTCAAAAAGTTTTGGTTGAAAAGGGACTAAAGATATTCCACCGTTTAATCCATGGATCAATTCCTCCCGTACTGTACCGTTCTTCCGTTTGCAGCATTCTCCATTGAACGGGCACGGTAGAGATTTCTTGTTCAGGTCGTCAGCACGACGGGAGCTGGAGCCAAGACTACGGGCCGGGTCATGTTTGGATTTTCGGGGAACGGGAAGAAGGATACAGGATGCAGAATGCAGGATACATGGTACAGGATACGGTCTGTACAGGCCATGGAATAATAAGCTACAGGACTCATGACTAGGTCAGGATTATACTGGGAAAGTGCCAAGGCATGTGGGTTGTGTGACCTTTTTTTTTTTCCCACCATCATCAAATCCAATCAATCAGATAAGATAGTTGATTGGATCTCTGCAGAAGACATACGTACGTCTCCATACTCCAACTCTCGTAAACAAGGGGGCAAAAAAAAAAAAAAGAAAAGAAAAATGGCCGTCTGAACCGTCCTATTGCCAGAGCTGACTGAGTTTTCCTCATCCCCATATTAAGACTGGAGTCAACCAGAAAACCATATCCGATGTCGCTGAGCGCGCGTTAGCCCGGCAAAAAAAAAAAAAAAAACGACGCTAGGATCTTATCTCGGAAGTGGTAATTTGGTATTTTGCAATCCACTGTATTTTACAAGTACTCCGTACACTTCAATGACACCCCCATGAGTGGTTACTAACAAACTACTGTAGTTACTCGAGCTATGGCCCGTGGTATCTGATGGTTTCGCTTGGACGCTTATTTATTTCATGGCGGGTACGCCCGAAGACGGAGCTTTGGGGGTTAGTGCAGAGTCAGTTTTTCGGTCGTATTACCAAAGAGCAGAGTTCTCTTGTCAAGGGGTAAACCGGGACAAGAAGGGACTCGTGTTCTGTAGAACTCAAAATTGATTTACCGGGAGAGGACGGGTAAGGATAAGATACTGTAGAATTTGCAGGAAGAAGGATACTGAGAAAAAAAGGTGTATTCCTATGCTTAAGAAAAGTATGCCAGCTCAATTGAACAGATCAATCATTACTCTTTAAAACAGCATCGTATTAGGGATACAACCCCCTTCCCCCCCAAAAAAGAACAGTGACAACTGTCACTGAAACTACAGACCCAACGCACAATAATCTAATCAGATAAAAAATTTTCCATTTTACGCGTTATCTGATCCGTAGCGTTTTGCCGAGGTTCTGACTCTGAGCCAATCGCGGCGCGCAGCCAAGACTTCGTGCCACTGATTGATTACGATACGCTTTTAAAAAAGTCTGGAACGATCTGCAGAAGTCAAAACACAGCTGTCTTGTGGTTTTGGCCAATTCGCTTGCTGTTTTTTCGCAGTACCTGCAGGATTTTATTATGGAGTCTGGTATTTGTATTTTTTTCTTTTTCTCGCTTGAGCTCCGAGGTCGTGGTTTGCTCTAAATCTGGCATTGGGGATGAGTGCGGCATTTGACGATATCATTGTACATATGGAATACTCTACGAAAGTGATTTCTCACCGTCTCTTACCAATTTACTCCTGATGGCTACGTACATACTAAAGCTGCAAATCGCAGGGAGCGACAGGGTCTGGCTGAAGCTCTGCGCCCTAAAGCAACCGGACCCATCCAATGCGGTGCTCATCGTACCACCTCTTTCTCGGCTCCCTTAACCAGCCTAGGATGTTCCGACGATGATCCCACTGTCTCTATGTGCGATCCGGGTCCCGTCAATTTCACGCGCCCCAGTTTTCGCCCGTCCATCCGTGGTTGGTTTCAGTGTTGTTGATTTGCGAGTTACCCATACGGCAGGGATCTGGCCTGCTTGGACAGATGTAGTAGCAGTTATTTCGGAGTTGTCCGCTGTATGGGGTCTGCGTCTGGTATGTGCTCCTTTGCTGTGGAATAATGCTAGGGATTGTACGGTTTGTCTCAAGAGTTTGACTAACTGCTCAAGTAAAAGAAATAAATTCAAATCTCTATCGAATCAACTTCTATATATCCAAAAAAAAAAAAAGAGAGAGATGAAAACCATATAAAATAATGGGGAATAATAGTAATATATGTCGAACAAATAGGGAAATAAATAAGAACAATAATATCACAAATCATGCATCAATAGATCACAGCGCAGATTTTACCAAAACGACTTCTTTTAGAACGGGCCAGGTCACAGACCCAAGACCCGATTGGTACCCTTCTTTTCTTCAATTACAGCATGGCACGAATTGTGGTGGTGTCCTGCACCTCCTTGCCCGCCAGTTGCTCGCCAAAGAGCGATTGCACCATTTCGCCACCACGTGCCGCCAGGACAGACAGCAAGCTGTCACTCAGACCGTGGGTCTTCTCATTGCAGCCCTGAAGCCACACACCAGCCCGTGCGCTGACCTTTCTGGGGTCCATCTGAACCCGGTAGTCCCGGCTGGGGATCCATTGCTCCAAGTTCGCGGGCCGCAGGTGCTGGACATTGCGTAGAATGTCCTCATGTGCATCGCGCTGGTAGCCAGTCGCCACCATGAGGGCGTCAACTTCCAAAGTCTCCTTGCCTTCCGAGGGAGCGGCGGTGTCCTTGGAGGACCGGACATGGAGGCGCATCCGGTTCTCAGGGCCGTGGTGCTCAACACGAGTTATCTTGCGAGAAGGAAGAATCCGGTGTTGCCATTGGGTCTCGTCGGGATTCTTGACGCGCTGGAGGTACAAGTCGTTGTAAATCTGCTCAATCAATTCGAGACGGACAACGCTATAGTTGGTTGCCTTGTCGGCGGCGAGGGAACGCTGACGCTCCTCAGGAGACTTGTTGTAGAAGGTTTCGACACGTTCAGGGTTGAAGACTTCGTTGACACTATACGTGAATTGCGTTGTTAGCTACGCACCTAATTTGAAGGGAGTGGAAGTGTAACATACAATGGCGAATCATCACTAGGACGCATAGCCGTATCTCTCATGATCAAAGTCGTACGCGCATTGGGATAGCGCTTCTGAAGGTCGTGGTAGATCTCAGCGGCACTTTGACCACTTCCCAGGACGGCAATGTTGTAGGGGTTGGATTCATTCTTCAGCATGGCAGGAAGGGTGGTGCAGTACTTGGAGGAATGCATGATGCGGGGGTCCTGGGGAAGACCGGGGGGCATCTTGGCCTTGCCACCAATGGCAATGACGACCTTGCGGGCGTTTCTCGAAGTAATCTCGCCCGTCTCAACATCGCGCGAGAGAACAGTGAAGTAGTCCACCGCGGAGCTAGTGGGGTCCGACTTGCCAGGAATCACCTCCACCACCTCCTGTCCGTAAGCCACCACATCCGAGAATCTCTCAGCACACCACCGCATGTAGTCTTCGAACTCCATCCGGGCCGGGAGGAAAGTTCCCAAGTTGGTGAAGTCAATCAAGCGCTCTTTCTGGTGGAGGTAGTTGAGGAAGGTGAAGCTGCTGCGAGGGTCACGGAGGGTTGCCAAGTCCTTGATGAATGAAATCTGCATGCGGGAGCCGGGAACCAGCATGCCCGAGTGCCAGGCAAATCGCTTCTGTCGCTCAAGGAAGCAAACCTTGGGCTGGAAGTTGGTGTTGGTACCAGGCTTTGCGAGAGCGGGGTCCAAGGAATCGTGAAGGGCAATACCAATTGCCAGAGAGGCCGGGCCGAAACCGATGCAGAGAACATCGTGCATGTCCTCTACAGGAGTTGCCTTGAGACGGGAAGGACCGCGCGAAGACGAGGGCTGGGCACGAGGCATGGTGGATGATGTGGTAGGGTAGTTGATCTCAGGCTTGCGCAGAACAGGCTCCATAACGAGAGGGACGGTGGATTAAGTTAGAAAAAGCAGGTGAAAAGAGAGACCAGAAAAAAAGGAAAAAAGTGAAGATAAAACGAAACCTCTCTTTTTACCGGAGAAAAGGATGAAGTATTACTATATACCAGAAGAATAAAGCGAGAGGATGAGGATATAAGAGAGTTGTGAATGGGAGAATGAAGAAAAAAGTCAAAAAGCAGCAGGTAAAACGATCAAATATGTACCTCCGGACGACGAGGATGACGATCGCCGAAGAATGAATTTATTGTTAGAAATTAAAAAAGTAATTAAATTTCAAGGAACCGAAATTTTGAAACTTGCAAATGTCACTTTTTTTTTGTTTTTCTTTTTTGACAGCGGAAATCGCGTATGACTGATGACTCGCTCCACCACGCCATGGGCAGAGCAAGAATCTTGTTAGTCATGCTGCTTGTCAGAGAAAACAGTGAAGTCTACTATTATATGCCTATGAAGAGAAAAACCCATGCTATGTGGATGGGAGGTACGTATACAGTGGGAATTTCTGCATAGGGCAACTGATTGATACGGCCGTATCTTATCGGAATCAGGTCAACTGAAGTGGCTACGAACGATCATGTTGTCTCAAGAATATGCATCGAAATGTAGAGAAAAGGGATCATCTCCGAGTTGAATGCTTTCTTCTTCTTGCAGAATATTACCAACACTACAATTATTCTTGTAATTGTAAAAAAAAAAAAAAAAGGTACAAGAGAGTGGGATGAGGGGAGGAAATGCACACCCACACTAACGGGCGATTAGATCCGCCTTTCAATGCCGCCCGATGTCGGGAACAAGCGCCGTAACTTTGCATACATACCGTTTTGTTACTAGCGCCATGGCTATGATGCAATTCCACTCTCGCTACAAGAGCATTACCATGTACAAAGAAGGGCATGGCTGCCACATAACGCATTATTGAATTACAAGAGAACTCAATATAAAGCATGTTCTATTAAAAAACCTGATCAGGCCACTCACAGGTTGACCGTTTGTTATAGACTAGCATGGATTCTGCATCCCTGCATGCGGGAAGGAAAATGATTCCGCACGGCTTCCACACAATACAGAACATTGAACAAAATCATTTTTATTGCCTCCTTTCCTATAAAACTCTCTATACAGTAATCCTGTAGCCTCAAACCAGACCGTTCTGGGATACTTGCATGGGATCTCCCACGCGTGGCGGTTGCTCGAATCAATCACATCCCACTTATTATAATTGTCTGATCGCTCGCTGGCTGATAGACAGGAGGACCGCATCCTGCTGACTTCCCACGCTATCCAAGTACATGGGATCAGTGAACACCACATGTACTTTAGCCTGCAGACTACAGAGTCTGTCGACACTAATTGGCCTTCTTTCGACCTCATGCCATTTCTTGAAGGATCGAGCCGGATATACAGGGACTAAGGTGACAATCCCTACCTGAGGGATTACGAAGACCAAATGAGATTCGCCGAGTAACTAATTCATTGTACATGAGAGGTTATACGTACTCCGAAGTATGTACTCTTATACCCGTCCCCCACATCATTTCTCTACGCATTGATATGATTACTGTGTTCGGAATGCTGAAACATGGACTAAGATGTCGATGACGACCCCTTTGGCTTGAATCACGATGTGAAGAAATGCGCGCTCAGACGTAAGAGACAATACAGGCTAAGTCTTGTTTCTCTATTTCCGCTGCTCATCAAATATGTACAGTGAAGGGGAATGTCGGTTCAACCATATATTATTTGATATACTCCAGAGCAAGAAAAGAAACACAGGAAATCACAAAAACAGTATAACAACAGCTACATATCTACCACCATCAGTCTCTCACTCACCTGACACCGACAAAGCGACACTCAAGGTTCTATTCATTAATTGCTTGGATGATCCGTTTCACTTCCCTGCAGACAGACATGAAACTAAAGTGGCGTATGCTTCCGAGTGGAAGCGTTCTCCGCTAGGGCGGTCTAAAGGATACTCCGGCTCTGTCCGTCATATATTTGGTGAACATCTACTGAACCGTACTCAGCGCAAAAAGTTGTGGTGTTTTTCCCCCACAATCTCGGGTTGCAAACTGTCCGTGCTGTCTCAGCACTTCTCGAAGCACGCGTATCGTAAGCTTTCTGGCTCTGATACACAGGAATCCAAATGGGCTCATGATTGCTGCAATACGCGTGTAGTCTAGGAAGACATTGTCTATACAGACTCGACAGATGATGGAGCATACCTCAAGATCAGCGTTATATGGTACGGCGCTGGTTGCTAGCCTATCGAACAGTTCCATGATCTTTGAAGGGCTTTGGACCATCTGCATCTCATCGTGCGGAATACAAACAAAATCAGCCAAGTAAATCCCATGGTTTTCGAACAGGCGACCCCGAGGTCCTCGGGGCTAAGGTGCTGAGCGAATGCCAGGAGAGTGAAGCATTGACAGAAGCCAGTTCCTTTTGTCTTGGGCTAATCTGTTCAGGCGGTATGAGCTTGACGTCCACCGAATCTTTTGACTCAGACAATAATCACTAGGCTGGTTCTGGATGGTACGTCTTCGCTGCCCAGCTGTATTACACGATGGTATCACTATCTGAATGGCAGTAGCCCATGTGTGGAACGTCTAACAGCGTACTGTGATTTGTCCAGCGAAGGTTTTCTGAGGAGTTGAGAAGTTTGGCATCATAAAAGATGTATTTGGAACGAGTGCTGCTCCGTCGGTTTGATTTTGTGATATCCGTCGTTCTGTAGTGATGCCCCAACAATGTTCATGGCCCGGCCCGGTTCATGAATTCTGTGCACCGTATCAACACCTTGTTAGCCCAGGGTAGAGATAGAGAGCACATTCTAGAAAGAGGCACTATGGAGAACAATCCCGCGCCATATTTTGCAAGACATGGATTTCTCCCTCATTCCAAAGTATGCACCTAGAAGTCCTCTTGGGGCAGCAGAGGTGGCTGATGGGGAGAGAAAGCCGCGCGAGGTTGCACCTATATTATTAAACACATTTCAGCTAAGTCTTGCTCAGTAGTATACAGCTTTGACTATAGACATCTTATATTACTACTGCTAAATGCATAACGTAAGCATTTTTGACCTGGGGATAACGCGAAAGCAATGTTGCGATATGGATGCCACGAGATGTCCTTACCATACAAGATATTTTTTTCGTAGAGAAAAGAAAAAAACATTGAACAGAAACGCAATTGCCAACACTGGAAACATTCCATACTATCTGTACACGTATGGAAAATCCCATCGGGCTCCTACAAGTACTCTCCCACGCGTCCCCATCGTTGGGTATCTATAATTACTCGCTACCAGAAGTCTATTTTGAGACAGCATAGAGCGCGAGAGAGTGTACGCCTGATTCCCCCACTTAAGGAGGCGTAATTACGAATCGCAACCTTATCATTGCTATTCCTATCCATCCACCCGACACAGCACATGATCTGGTTATTCCCAATGATCCACCATCGTACTTAATGCTTTTTTAGCATAGCATGTGAGTATGTTGCACATTCTGTATGCAGTCTACAATGCATGCTGTATATATGCAGGCGAACTTGGCATTTTATGGGCCATTCAATTGGATGATGCATTACCTATTTCGAGTCGCTACTATAGAGGCCATAGAGGTGTTAATGCTATCATCTGGTCTTACACGTACTTCAATTCTATTGCATCATTAATGAACTGTTCTTTTTTTTTTTTTTTTTTTTTTTCAAGTGCGGTGGATTCTTTGGTTTATTCGGGGGTATTGACGATGTGTATACAGAGTATTCAAGATATATATCCGCGCATCACTTTGTCCTGCATTCCATCACCAATGCAGCTTCTATATATACGAACAGCTTTCTGACTTGGCTTGCCTTGAGAAATCCCTGTGCCCACGAAGCACGTTTATATCTTGACATATACACTGGATAGGCTATGAATTCGACATGGATAATGTCACGAATTGCTGCAGTACACGTGGGTAATTGATCTTGTTTGACATCGGAAGCATTTCATTTTTTCACAAGAATCGTCTAATCACAGGTATATTCTTTGATTACATAACCTGTATATTGGAAATGAAAGCCGAAAAGAATACTTTAGGTGATATTCTAACCCATAGAAGCTACAACACATGCTTCCTATATACTCAACTGACATGCAGACCCTGAATGACAGATAGACCAGAGAAGTCATGGAAATCCAACCGCTATGCATTCATGCATATCAGACAGGCACGGGTCGCAGGTATTCCAACGTCCGAATTCAACATATGCTCTACGCCACTAGCGGCTATCATTACCACCGGGTCTGAGATGAGAGCAATGGAGGAAGTACCAATGTTAACGTGGTAGCCACTCCCATGTTCATTGCACAACTGTCGTCAGTAAGTCAATTGCGCGTCTCTGCCGGCCCAGGGAGCAGGACAAGACAAATTGAAAGATGTTGACCGACCCCAACATGCCAGTCTCCACGGAACTGGATAATAGGCCACTGTTTCGGTTATGTAATTGTTTTCATGGTTTTTTGCAGTTGGTGTTTGCTAATTCTTCAGATTTCAATGAAGGCGAGGCACTGAATTTGCGCGTTCGAGATAAAGCTGGCTCTGGTAGCTCTGGAATGAAAACAATGAAGTTCCAGCAAAAATATCGCAAATAGGGCCCATCTGTCGGCTTCAAAGTTGATAACAATTATGTCGGCAATCTCAAGGCATTTTGAATTCCTGAGCGCATAGAATCTCATCCCGTGCGGCATCTGCATTGAATAGAGGTTAGGGGCGAGCGATTAATGAGATTTTGCCTCATAGTCAGACGATCCGAAACGATAAATTAGCCCCAAATTGCCTGGATCTAAGTTTTAGTCGAGCGCAAAATCAGGCGTAGGGCAGGTTGCTGGGAACAACTGGTGCGGTGAGGAAAATATATACCAGTTTTGCACGCAATAAATGATAGACGAGAGGGATGACGCTGCGGCGTAAGGGGGTTGAGATAGAAGTTTGGGCATTGTCCACCACCATTATCTCCATACTTGTTGCGTACATAAATACTATCGTGAACTTCATGCATGCTGACTAATGATGCCTCGTTCTCTGCAAGGAAATAATTCCAATTATTTGTTTGAGGATAAAGCACGGGGGCGCAACACATGTAATGTAACTGTATGTTGTTCGCATTAGCGTTTTGGAAACTTTTCGGACCGAGTGACTTTGTTGAATCCTGGAAAGGCTGAATAGGGTGCCTGAGGGTGAACCATGGTAGCTGGTCTCCCGAGCAATGGGTATACAGATCATATCACGACCGGATCTGATCAGGTCAGGTCGCATGCGATCATCTTGTCAACGTTGCTTAGTATCCGATTTCCCCAGGTTGCATACATCGCGATCAGTAGGACACGTGGATTGGCGAAGCGCGAGTAACCATACAGTTAGGTATTGTAAGTCAGCACCTTTTCATCTCAAATCCTTTTCTTTTTGAACTTCACCCGAAGATGAGGAATTTATATTCCTAGCAATTAGGTAGGGACGGTGAAGGGAGATAGTGCCTTTCGCAGGGCGGGATATTGCATGCGAGGAGCAGAGGGACGAAGCAAGGGTTCTGGATTGGGGCTATCGATAGCATTATCCCCCCATACTCTGATAGCTATCGATATGCACCCGTCGTGGATCTGGAGAAGTATCTATTCTAATCTTCCGCTGTGATGCAGTCATGATACATAATGTCAACGGTATAATAATAATTTCCATCAAAATATGTGTTGATAAAGAATAGGTGAATAAGACTGCTACTATAGGGGTAGTATAACAGCGTAACAAAGCGTAGCAATAGAATAAACAGTAACGTGACCGTGTATCATGACGCCATGTCACGCGTTTCCGTACCCGGGACTAAGCTAAATCGGGCATGCGTCAACACAACATCCACGCGCGGCGCGTTGGCGCTTTCGAGTCCCCCCCAAAAAATTATACTCGGCTAGTACTACGGTTACTCTCTTTCATCCTCAAACCTCTTTCCTCTTTATCCGGATTCAAGAGTCAACTTCCATCGTACCTTTTTATCACTGGTTGCGATCCTTTTCCCGAACTCAAAAAACCTTTCTTTCTTCCTTCCTCTTGGACCTCTTCCGCCTATACCGCAATTTCCCAATTCGATACTTTTCCCACTCGCCCCTCCCTTTTCGCGACAACTCACACCCTGCTCTCGCTTTGGTCGCTAATAATCGACATACATACATTTCTCGCGTGGCTGTCCAGTTAAAAAAGAAATTTCCTTTTTTTGGAGGGGCGCCTTGTCTGTCGACAACATACCCCTTGCGCGCGCAGTCTGTCCTCCCCTCCTTCCTCAACGGAAGGGATAGATAACCGCTCCCTCTTCGCTGCGTTTCGCTCGCCGCCCTTTCTGTTCGTCGTCTGTCAACAGCCTCTTTTGTATGCCTGTCTCTTACACCGACTAAGAGAAGAAGCACTATCGCCTTCCTCGCTTCGTTCCTGCCGATTCCGCGCATTTCGCGAAGAAAAATTAGAAGGCGCATCGTGGTTGTCACTTCGAAACATTCCCGCATAGCAGGTTGCGCCGACCGTCTCCCGCTGGAAACAATTTCCTGGCGTTTCAGCGCGCGCATAGATATTATCCGTGTGTCGTGTCTGCCCCGCGTGTCGCGCGCGCGCGTTTTGTGTGGCCTAAGCGCATAGGAGGAAAATATTCCCTAAGCGCATCGAGCCTTTTGGCGTCATCAAATTTCTCCGGGCTCGCCATGGTCTAGATTGGTGCCAATCAATCATCGCCCTCCTTCGTCATTTACACTGATCCACATTGTTACCAAATTTCCGGTGTCTCCCAGTGGACGATACGTACCTTTGCGGCCTAACCGGCTCCGCATTCCACAGCTCTGGTCCTTGGGCAGGAGAATTTGCGCTAGCACTGCCACTGGACTGTTTGTGCTCGATTCTCCACTATCGCTCTGTTTTGGGGTCTTGTTGTATACAGTCAACATCCCATTGTCGTCTTGTTACCCTACGGAAGGATCGTCTTTGACATCGGTCATTTGATTCTCTCTGAAGAGTCACACTATTGCCTCTGAAAAAGATCTCTGTATTGACAACTCCTGGAAGAGATCTTCCTACTATCATTCCCTGTCGTGACGCTTATACATTCCCACTAATCATGGTTGCAACATTTTCGCCGCACCGGGATGCGGGTGGCACGCTTCACCTGCCCTCGCACTCGGGCATTCACCATGTTGATGCTAGTTCGGCCATCCGGCAACTCCGCCGTTCGTTGTCCCGGTCGCCCTCCAAGGGCTCGAATTTCTCCCTGCTCACCTCGCGCAACCACTCACCGTCTAAATCCACCACACCATACGTCTCGTCTCCACTGTCGCCGTCGCGCCGGTCCGGCCAGGGCAACTTTGTACTGCTCCCAAGCACATCCCAGCAGTCTCCCTTTGCCGTGCCTTATCCACCAAGCGCCAAAATCACCCGGCCGGCCATGCGGCGGACACGCACTTCTCCCCGCAGCCCGGTGAAGCGTGTCTTGAACGTTTCGACCGATCAGGGCAACGCAAAGCCTCTGCAGCCAGTTCTGGCGCCTTCTGGGGAGGAGAATTCACCTTCGACTCCCGAAATTGACATCGAGACTACTCCCGACCAACCAGCAGAGGATGTCTGTCAGCACAACGTTTCGGCGTTTGCAGAGAATGCGCTGGGCCCACGGCCAACCCTATCCCGTATTGAGAAGCGCCGGAGCGGAACGTTTTCGTACGGAGCGGTTAGCCCTCTGAAACGCAGCGATGGTACTATGAACTTGGATCAGGCTTCCCGTGGCAGTCCGTCCGCAAAACGGCGCAGCGTCTACACACCCAACATGCCTGGCGAGTTCAGTATCTTTGACAACGACAACGATGATGCCCTCATGATGGGTGACGAACCACTTGAGACTGAGTCTGAAGATGACATGCCGCCGCCGCCAGCCCCGGTTTCGCCGTTCAGCCCTTTTGCAACTGTCCCAAAACGGTCGTGTTCCCTTCGACGCTCAACGCTGCAACAACGCCAGAATGATCGCCCTTCTCTCTTTGGTACACCTGCTGCACCATCTCGTCCACGCCTAGATTCAAATCTGTTCCAACCCAGCAAGGAAAGCCTTTTCTCGCCAAAACCGGAATCGAGCAGCTCGCTGTTTGCGACGTCCTTGAACAATGCGGCGTCTCGCCAGGGCCCTCATCCTTTATCGCGGACCATCACCCAATCGTCATCCAGTTCGAGCCTTGTCGATGACTCGCCAACCCACGAACCCGCTCACAAGAGTGAGCGGCCGCGAGGCATCGAATTTTCCAAGTCTCTCCCCGCGGGAGCTACGCGCCCTGCACCCGTCCGCCGGTTAAACCGTGAGGATTCGAATATGTCCTCAGAGTCATTTGCCACCCCTGAGAACTACAAGCTTGTTAAGCCGCTGCCGGCGGCGTTCATGTCGACGGGTTTGATCTCCAAGAAGAATCGGAATGCCGAAGACCCCCAGCACTCGCTGCGATCCAGCAAGAACATGCCGGACACGCCATGCAAGCGGCCCATCAACCTGTTCCCCACTGCCCCAAAACCATCCGAGGCAGTGCCTCCATCTCCGTTTAACCCTCCGACCACCAGTCGCCCGAAGCCGGGCCCTTTTGCGCGTGGCATGGGGATTTTCGGCAACAGTTTCAACAAGCCTGACCTTTCGCGTCGCAGTAGCTTTGTGAGTATCGACGGTGACGACGTACAGGCCCAATCGCCTTCGGCCCGGTTCGACAGCCAAGCTCTGAGTGAATTGGAATTGCCTCCCACACCCACCAAACAGTCATTCTTCCCATCGCGAACATATCCGCCAACGTCCTCCCAGATTGCTTCTTTGGAGAAGTTGTCGGAAAGCAGAGCGAGTCCTGTGAGTGAGAAGATTCTGCGTGGATCACCGCGGACGCCACAGGACCACATCTTCCCCCCCGATCCTAGTGGCTTGTCCATCACTGCGCAGAATGAGCCATATTCCATTGGGACAGATTTCAACGCCTCCAACCTCCCTGCAACTCCAACTGGACCTCGTGATTCTTTCCTGCTGGCCGGGAAACGCTCAAGTCTCCAGTTGACTGGATTCAACGCCCCCGACGTCGATCCAGCCTTGACATCTCGTTTCCAAAATGTGGAGCTCATCGGCACCGGTGAATTCTCGCAGGTCTTTCGGGTCGCTCAACCACATGGCGAGCCCTCTGTCTTCTCCCTCCCGCCAACCGGACCAAAGTCCCCAGATTCGCTGCCCAGCCAAGTATGGGCTGTCAAGAAGGCCAAACAACCATACTCGGGATTGAGGGACCGTGAGCGCCGTATCCGGGAAGTGGACGCCCTGAAAACGCTCACCAACTCGGACCATGTCATTTCTTTCGTCGACAGTTGGGAAGCTAGCGGCCATCTGTACATCCAGACTGAGTTCTGCGAGGAAGGAAGTCTTGATATATTCCTGGCTGAGGTTGGACTCAAAGCCCGACTGGATGATTTCCGCATCTGGAAGATTCTGTTGGAACTGGCTTCAGTAAGATCTTACCTCGTTTTCCATCAGCGTGCAATGAAATACTAATCCAGCGACAGGGCGTTAAACATATCCATGACATGGGTTACATTCACCTCGATCTCAAACCGGCCAATATATTGGTATCCTTTGAGGGTGTGTTGAAAATTGCTGACTTTGGCATGGCAACCAGATGGCCAGCTGAAGAAGGTATCGAGGGTGAAGGTGACCGCGAATACATTGGCCCGGAAATTTTGATGGGCCAGTTCGACAAGCCGGCCGACATGTTCTCCCTCGGCCTGATCATCTTTGAAATTGCCGGGAACGTTGAGCTTCCCGACAACGGCGTTTCATGGCAGAAACTCCGGAACGGCGACATGAGCGATGTCCCCAGCTTGAGTTTCAGTTCGGACTCCTACGTCTGTCGAGACGCCTCTGGCAACCCAGTTTCGGAGGAACCTTCCTTCGAAGACCTTTGTGCCTCTGACTGTGGTGATGATGACTTTGGAGTGGGTAGCTTCATGGGAGGCCGCAAACCCAAGCCAGTCCCTATGCCTCGTAGTGGGGATTTGGTGAATCCTCCTGAGTTCATGGTTGATGCAGACCATGAACAGGCATTGGATAAGATTGTCGGGTGGATGATCTCGCCCGATCCGCTTCAGCGTCCCACAGCCGACCAGGTACTGCAGACGTATGGCATCCAGTTTGCTGAACATCGTCGTCGGGCCGGAGCCACAATCTACGAAGGCAACTGGGGTCCTGCAGATGAGATCCTCGCCGAAGACGCCGAGATGATGGATGTCTGAACTTACTATTTTCCTTCCCATTCGACACGTGCATTCCAGCGGAGTTGGCGTCATTAATAGTCCTCTGCGGTCTTCTATTTACTCACGCATTTTCACGACGGCGTTGAACCTGGATACATTTCTGGACTCATTTTTCCCAGGCTTATCTTTTTTTTTTTAATATTTTTCTTTGAATGACTCGTTCTGCTGCTCAGCGGAATATACATTTGCGAGCCAATCGAAAGGTACTGCAATCGCAAATCTTCCTCCTGACGGCTTGGATGTTTACCTTCGATGGCTTTTTTTTTTTTTTTTTTTTTTTTTTTTCCCTCTATTTGACCACCCTCACGACTCGGATGATGTTGACCTGATTAACGATTTTACGGGCAGTTCCGGAGTTACGTGAGGATATTCGCTCGCTCCTTTCCATCTTTCCTTTGTTGCCATTGATGCCATGTCTTTTTCCAAATATACCAATTGTTCTATGTGGGGGTTAGGATTCTTTTGATGATCCCTAAGTGGAGGAGTGCTTCCCATTGATTACCTTGTCTTTGTTGATTTGATTCTATCTTCATTTCTTGTTTACATTTTCGGTTTCTTCAGCTTGGACAGGGCTAGGTAACCGACCTGGATAGGACTGGCTGCTCTCATATTGTTTGTATTCTGCTTATTTCGAAGATTCCCCATTTTCTTTGTTTTCTTTTCTCATGTGAAAGCTTTGGCTGCTGTGTAAATGATTTCTTTCCTCTCTATCTGTGTTTCTATGTGTCTCGACCGAGATTTCTTTTTTCTCCCCTGTATTTTTCCTACCATCAGCGAACAGCCTTGTGATCAAGCGGGCTTGAGAACAGGATAATGTCTGTTATTTAGAATTCTTGCATGAAAGCATTTGGTGAACGCCGCCACGATAGATATGAAGTCTCTTTTGCTTATGAATAGCTCTTGTACTCGTAGCCAAACAGTTAACTAAGTTACTGATGTTACTGAGAACGTAATCCACTACCGAGCTGCGCAGCTAGCGTAAGACGCGTCAATTAATTAGACCTTCCATATTCAATTAACTACTATGCTACCAATTCGCTCTCAACGCTCTCAAAATCTGATAGAGCAAGAGGGTAGGATCTTATTAGCTATCCAGGCTATTAAAAAACAAGAAATTCGCGCTATTTGCGAAGCAGCGCGCCACTTCAATGTACCTGAGTCAACCCTCCGTACGCGTCTCCATGGCACTACAACTCGAAGCGAAACACGCGCCAATAGCCATGAATTGACTGAAATCGAAGAGCAATCGCTTGTCCGATGGATATTCTCCCTTGATGACCGTGGAGTAGCGCCTCGGCCTCTACTGTATGAGAAGTGGCGGATCTATTACTCGCGGCACGTGGTGATACCCCAGTTCAAACAGTTGGTGAGAATTGGGTCTCAAAGTTTATAAAAAGGCATTCTGAGCTTCCATCCCGATTCTCAAGGCGCTATAATTACGAGCATGCAAAATATGAAGACCCTAAAAGCATCCAAGCATGGTTTGATTGCGTGCAACGTATGATACTTCAATATGGCATTGACCCTGATGATATTCACAACTTTGACGAGACTGGCTTTGCAATGGGCTTAACCGCTACTACAAAAGTAGTTTCGAGATCTGAACACTATGGTCGGCGACCCCTTTTACAACCTGGAAACCGTGAATGGGCCACTGCAATTGAGGCAATAAGTGCATCAGGGTGGGCCTTACCTCCATGCCTCATTTTCAAAGGCAAGGTCTTTATCGAGGGTTGGCTTCAGAACCTCCCAGGTGATTGGCGTTTTGGAGTTAGCCCAGATGGATGGGCTTCTGATGAAATTGGGCTTCGGTGGCTCCAAAAGACCTTCATTCCATCAACACTTACTCGTATGAAAGGGATTTATCGGCTTTTGATCCTCGACGGCCATGGTAGTCATTTGACACCAAAATTTGATCAAATTTGCAATTAAAATAATATCATTCCAGTCTGCATGCCAGCACATTCATCGCATCTTTTACAGCCACTTGATATCGGTTGTTTTGCGGTGTTAAAGCGATCATTGTGACGGCTTGACACTGCCTATAAGACTAATAATGACAGACGACATCGAACATGAGCAGAACCCTGTCGTACAGTGGTATAAGAAAGCTTCCATCCTCTAGATAGGATTCTTTTTCTTTCTTTTTCTTCTCCAGACTCGATATTTTCGTCGATGCCTACAATAGTTTAGATAGGAATATCATTTCGTCAGTATCTACTATTTCCGAGCCCGTGACAATCTTATGGTCAGCTTGTTGAAACCAATATGCGTCTTAGGATCAACCATATTGACAAATTAGACTTCCTTGAGGCCTACTTACACGCAAGAATCGAAACTTTCAAACCAAATACTATCAAAAATAGCTTCACAGCAGCTGGTTCAATACCTTTCGACCCTGATCAAGTGCTTTCAAAGCTCAATGTTCGGCTTCGTACACCAACCACCCCTAGAAGCCAGGGTAGTGATTGGGAGCCAAAAACACCCTCAAACTACTTGCAATTACAGAAGCAATCCTCATCAACTAAAGCATTGTTCTGCACAAAATCAAGAAGCCCACCGAGTCCGCTCAATACTGCAATAAATCAGATTCTTAAGGCATGCTAAATCGGTATGCATTCAGCTGCTATTCTTGAGAAGGAAGTAAGAGATTTACGTTATCTGAATGCAAAGCAGAAGCAGAAGCGTACACAGTCTAGAAGGCAGATACCTCATGAAGAAGGCCTCCTCAATAGCTCCAGCACCCCCGGCCAAGACGGCCTTCACCACCTTTACAGCCGCGCGCACGAGGGCTTTACTGAAGTGTGATGCCTGTGGAAATGAAGGACACAAGAGAAATACATGCCCAGATAGACCTAGATAGCTTAATTCTTAATTAATTGGCGTTTTGGTTGAGCAAAATTGATTTAATTACTATAAGTGGGAAACGGGTGCGCAGCTCGGTGGTGTGCACAGCTCGGTAGTGGATTACGTCAACGTAACCTACTAGCGAGCGGCCACTACAAGCCAGCGGCCACCCGGAGTATTGCATACAAATTGGCACTTCTCAGGACCTCAAAATCACAACTAAAGTTATAAGTGTTCTGTTAAAGGTCATAACATCTAATATTGATGCATTGTAGAAGCCTCTTTGTTTTGTCTATAACGTTTAGAATTCTTTTATCATCTGAAATACAGTGTTATTCCCAATACAGCTGTATTTAATGCTGTCTCTATGTATTGAAAAGAACTGAATATGTTATGAAATTTTGGGGTTAACCTCTGCTTGTGTACGTCGAAATAACTGATATTCCAATTTTCAGGCCCTACCAATGTGTCATTGTAGAGATATTGAGGTCTTAAAAAGTGCTATTTTGTATGCAATACTCCAGGTGGCCGCTGGCTTGTAGTGGCCGCTCGCTAGTGGGTTATGTTACTTTAAAGTTAGCGCCTGGTTATTCAGGTGTGCCGATTGCCACCAGCCGCGGTCTTGGCGCGGAGCTTCAAAACACTTCAACACTTCCTCTCCCATTCGCAGCGCAGCCAGGACAGCTCTTTTTCTTTTTCTATACCCTTTTTCCTCGACTAAATACTGGCTCTCTATTCCTGTTCTTGCTGGACCATCTCGAACTCCTGAAACGAGGGCTCCCGAGAGCCATATTTGACCGTTGACCAGAAATACGCCGCAAGCTCATTCGCGTCCTAAAGGCTGCTACCTGGCTTTCTCCTGTGACCTTGGGATCAGCATTAATATCTACTATACCGAATTCCGTATATTAATTGACGACCCAACCTTTCGGTAACATCCACCACATACACCTCCCGAACCCATACTGACCTTGCGCTTCCCTAAAATAATCAGTCAATCAACCGAAATGGACCACAGGACCTTCATCTCAGACACCCTCCTCCGCCTCACCGGCGCCTCAGAACCCACAATCATTGACTTCATACTCGCAACAGCATCCTCCGCCAAATCCGCCCCCTTATTACAAGACAAACTCGTTCCATTCCTGGACGGTAGTCCCGACGACGTTGGCGCGTTTTGTCGCGAGTTATTTGCGCGGACGAACTCTACGAAGAGTGCAACGGCACCGGTACAAGCGGCGAAGGAAAAGGATGTGTTGAAGAAGAAATATAAGCTTGTGGATATGGGTGAGGACATGGCCGATCTGGGGTCATTTGGGCCGGTGAACGTTGAAGCGGATCGGAATAAAGAGAGACGGAGGCGGGGGGAGAATGAGAGTCGGAGCCGGGGAAAGGAGAATAGGAATGAAGGACGGAGCGGGAGCAGATTGGAGAAGGATGAGAGCCGGAAACGAGAGCGCAGTCGGGAAGACGGGCGGGATCATCGGTCCAAGAAACTGCGCAGACGGGATGTGGATGATTTCGAAGGTCGTTGGGGTGATGAGGAGATTCCCGAGGAGGAGCTGTATGAGGAGGCTGAGGAATTCGGGGAGTCGCCTGCTAAACGTACACGGTTGGATGATGGGTCTGCATCGCCTCGATCAGATGCGTCTGCGGACTTGGATCCCCAGACGAAGCAGGAGGTGCAGCGACAGCGAGATTTGCAGGAGCGGGATGAATTCGCGAAACGTCTGGCCAGCAAGGATGATAGTAAATCAAAGAAGATCGTCGAGGATCGGACGAGGTCTGGTGAGGCGGCGCGTCGACGGGCGTTGGCTGATGATGCTTCTTCGAGGGCGTCCGCGATGCCGGAACTGAGAATGCGTTCGCGACAGGAGTACTTGAAGAAGCGAGAGACTGAACGGCTGGCGCTGCTGCGGAGACAGGTTGCGGAGGAGACACAAGAATTACGAGAGAACCCGAGCCTGACGCGCAAGGAGAAGGAAGAATTCGCTAGAAACCGCGAAGTGCTTCAGATCGCCGAGGAACGGTTACGAATTGACGACTACCGAGATGGTTACATGATGCCAGAAGACTACATTACGGAGAAGGGCAAAATCGACCGCAAGAAGAAGGAAGACGCGCTATATAAGCGGTATGTTGATCGCGATGAAATGGGCCATGAACGGTTCGTTACGGAGCATGAGGAGTGGGAGATGGAACAGACGGCCAAGGCCAAGGCGCAGATAAAGAAACCCGAATTTGTCGATGAGGGAAACTACGAATATGTCTTTGATGATACCCAGCAGATCAACTTCGTCACAGACACTAAGCTCGAGGGCACCCAGAAGCCCATGACAGGCGAGGAGCGCATGTTCCAGGAGAAGCTCAACGCTGCGGAGCAGAAAGCGGCGTCGATCGAAGAGACCCGGAAGAGTCTCCCTATCTACCAGTTTCGAGATCAGATTATCCAGGCTGTTCAGGAGCATCAAGTTCTTATTATCGTTGGTGAAACTGGTTCCGGAAAGACGACCCAGATCCCGCAGTATTTGCACGAGGCAGGGTATACGCAGAACGGGATGAAGGTTGGTTGCACGCAGCCTCGACGTGTGGCCGCGATGAGTGTTGCATCGCGTGTAGCAGAGGAAATGGGTGTGAAAATAGGCAACGAAGTCGGTTATGCTATCCGGTTCGAGGATAACACCAGCGACAAGACCACTCTCAAGTACATGACGGATGGTATGCTTCTGCGAGAGCTGCTGACAGAGCCGGACCTTGGTCAGTATTCCGCGCTGATGATCGATGAGGCGCACGAGCGGACGGTGCCAACCGATATTGCTTGTGGTCTGTTGAAGGATATCGCGAAAGCGCGGCCTGATCTCAGACTTCTCATCTCCTCTGCGACAATGGATGCGCAGAAGTTCCAGAAATATTTCGATGATGCGCCCATCTTCAACATCCCCGGACGACGGTATCCCGTCGACATCCACTACACATCGCAACCAGAAGCGAATTTCCTGGCTGCGGCTATCACAACGGTGTTCCAGATCCACGTCACGCAGGGACCTGGTGATGTCCTGGTGTTCTTGACGGGTCAAGAAGAAATCGAGGCAGCCGAGCAGAGTTTATCGGAAACAGCGCGGAAACTAGGAAGTAAAATCCCCGAGATGATCATCTGTCCGATCTATGCAAATCTGCCGTCCGAGCTGCAGACGAAGATCTTCGAGCCGACTCCGCCAGGTGCACGGAAGGTCGTACTGGCCACGAACATTGCGGAAACGAGTTTGACGATTGACGGTATTGTCTACGTTATCGATCCAGGTTTCGTGAAGGAGAATGTTTTCAACCCGCGAACAGGCATGGAAAGTTTGGTCGTGGCGCCATGCTCGCGGGCATCGGCTAACCAGAGAGCTGGTCGTGCTGGTCGTGTTGGACCAGGCAAATGCTTCCGCTTGTATACCAAGTGGGCGTACCATAACGAATTAGAAGAGAGCACAACACCTGAAATCCAGCGGACGAATCTGACCAGTGTGATTCTAATGCTCAAATCGCTCGGTATCGACCAGCTGCTAGACTTCGATTTCATGGACCCTCCACCAGCAGAGACGATCATCCGCGCACTGGAACAGCTCTACGCACTGGGCTCCCTGAACGACCGCGGTGAGTTGACAAAGATCGGACGGCAAATGGCCGAATTCCCCACCGACCCAATGCTCGCCAAAGCAATTCTCGCTGCAGACCAATATGGCTGCGTTGAAGAAGTCCTCTCCATCGTCTCAATGCTTGGCGAAGGCAGCGCGCTCTTTTTCCGTCCCAAGGACAAGAAAATCCACGCCGACAGCGCGCGCAACCGCTTCACTATAAAGGACGGCGGCGACCACCTTACCCTACTCAACGTGTGGAACCAATGGGTCGACAGCGATTTCAGCTACGTCTGGGCGCGCGAGAACTTTTTGCAACAACGCTCTCTCACCCGCGCGCGCGACGTGCGCGATCAACTCGCCAAGCTATGCGACCGTGTCGAAGTTAATGTCAGCACCTGCGGAGCGTCCAATATTGTGCCCATCCAGAAAGCCATTACTTCTGGGTTCTTTCCGAACGCGGCAAGATTGCAGCGTGGAGGCGATAGCTACCGGACTGTCAAGAACGGACAGACAGTATATCTACACCCTAGTAGTACGCTGTTCGAGGTGAACCCAAGGTGGGTTATTTACTTTGAACTGGTATTGACGAGTAAGGAGTACATGAGGAGTAATATGCCGTTGCAGTCAGAGTGGCTGGTGGAGGTTGCGCCGCATTATTACAAGAAGAAGGATTTGGAGACACTCGGGGTCGAGAAGAAAGTTCCTAAAGGGCAGGGAGCAGCTGGAGAAAAGAGTCGCATGTAATTTTGTCCATAGCGTAATTTTAATAGAGTGCATGCCAGTCATCGGAATGCAAAGAATCAAGATTAGGTTATCTCGTTATCTCGTGCTTGATTGCGATCATCTGTCAATCCGTCGCTCTCGTTGCTGGGTGGTCCAGCCTCATTGTTTTTACTGTCTCAACATTTCCTATTCGGTCCTTTCTTTGTTGTGTGTGCTCCCCTGAATTCCTTTTCTGTTCTTCTCCCATTGCTCTGTTTTTTTCAATCCTTACCTTCATTCTACCATTTTCCACTCTCCACTTCCTTTTTGGTTGTCTTGCATTGGTTCCTGACGCTACGTTGTCCCGTCGACGGCTTCTCGCATCGCATCGCATCCATCGCATCCATCGCATTCATTGCATCCTCAGACAGTGTCGCATACTTACATTCGATCCTCAATCCGATCCGTTTATTTTCGTTTTCATGTTATCGCCGATTAGCTTCCTCCGTTCAATATCCTATTGACATTGACCGTGCTATCCCAAAACGGAGGACGGCTTGCCGACCGCAAGCGTCGTCCCTCTGCTCATTCTCACTGCTGGACAGTGAACATTAAAGAATAATAAACCCCCAAGGCCAACATGGACCCCTCCATCCTCCCCCGAGATGACGCCTCCGGCCGCCCACCCATCTACAAAGCAATTGGCATTTCCCTGGCCGTCGCATCAGGCCTCTTCATCGGCGTCTCTTTCGTGATTAAGAAAATCGGACTGCTAAAAGCGAATGCGAAATACAACGAAGAGGCCGGCGAGGGATATGGCTACCTGCGCAATTTCTGGTGGTGGACTGGGATGACGTTGATGATTGTTGGGGAGATATGCAATTTTGTTGCGTACGCTTTTGTCGATGCTATACTTGTTACGCCGTTGGGTGCACTGGCGGTTGTGGTGACTACGATATTGTCTGCGATATTCTTGAAGGAGAGGTTGAGTTTCGTTGGGAAGGTGGGCTGTTTCTCGTGTATTGTGGGTTCGGTGGTGATTGCGATGAATGCGCCGGAGCAGTCGTCTGTCAGTGATATACAGGATATGAAGAAGTATGTAATCACGCCTGGGTTTCTGTCCTATGCGGGTGTGATTGTGCTTGGTTGTGCGTTTACAGCATTCTGGGCTGGTCCGCGGTGGGGAAAGAAGAATATGTTTGTGTATATCAGCATTTGCAGTCTGATCGGCGGATTGAGTGTGGTTGCGACGCAGGGACTTGGGTCTGCGATTCTGGCGCAGATCAATGGCAAGTCGCAGTTCAAGGAGTGGTTCCTTTATGTGTTGCTGGTGTTTGTCATTGCGACGTTGCTGACTGAAATCATCTACCTGAATGTATGTTGGACAGCGCCAGCTGAACTTCGGCTTCTGTGACAGGCAAGCTGACAATTTGACAGAAAGCATTGAACATCTTCAATGCCGCCCTCGTTACCCCAACTTACTACGTGTTTTTCACCACCTGCACAATTGCTACCTCCGCCGTCCTTTTCCAGGGCTTCCAAGGCACCGGCAAAGAGATTGCAACAGTCGTCATGGGTTTTCTGCAGATATGTGCGGGTGTCGTCCTTTTGCAACTATCCAAGTCAGCGAAAGATGTCCCCGACGCGGCTGTCTTCAAGGGCGATCTCGATCAGGTGCGTGAAGTAGCCACGCAGGAGGAGAGTGAGACGGAACCCAAGGCCGATTCGATTCGCGGAGCTGCTGCTATCGTACGGCAGTTGTCTAGTACGAGACGAAAAGGGGAGGAAGAGGAACTCAGACGGTATCTCAGAGAGAGAAATGAAGATCTCAAACCTCCGGGTGAAAACGAAATCGTTGAGTGGGATGGCTTGAGACGAAGGAAAACTGTCCTGAATGGTGCGAGGTCACATACGCCAGGCTCAGTTAAGAGCTCGCTTCCACCATTAGGAATGTCACACATTCCAGAAGAAGAACAGGGCCAAAATGAAGACAGACTCAACCACAGCTTCATCGAGGGCATCCGTTCCCGAGCATCCAGTTTTCTCCATCCTCAATGGCGTCCGATCAACGATGACGACGGAACAATGCCACCAGATACCACCGACTTCGCCTACACACGCAGTCCTACCCCACAAGCAACACCAAAACCGGTATACAGTGGTGGAAAACGCCAATTCTCATTCAACACCGTCCTCAATCGCCTTAAATCCCGTCCCTCCAGCCCAGCACACGGCATCCTCTGCTCAACACCAACATCCGCCGAAAAAGAGGCACTCAAAAACGCCACAGAAGAGGAACGTCTCGGTCTCGTGCTTGGTGGCGAATCGCACCATCCTGAAGACGACGAACTAAACGAGCGTCTAGCACGAACAGAATCGGTGTCCTCTGCTGATTCTAGTCTAGGCGGCGGACAGGCCATGATGGATCGTCTGCATCAGTCGCTTGACGAGGCGACGAGGATCTATCAGAGTCCAAAGCCGAAACAGAATCAGGTCTCTGTGTCGACTGTCTCAACTGCGCTGGGGGCTCCTTTTGAGGGGAATACGGTTTATCCTTTATCTTGTTCGCAGCCGCCATCGTATAGCACGTTACCACAACCTGAGGCTGTGCCAACGCAGCCACAAGCGCAGAGGTCAAATCCATTACCTCCAGTTCCGCCTGAAAGCCCACTAGTCGCTGCAGGAGGTGATTCGCATGTGCGGGTTGAACTGCGGTCTCCGTATAGTCCTGTGGGGTCAGATGTGTCCAGCCGCGGACGGGGTGGATGGCGTCGAGAGGACTATTGATTGCTATATGAATAATGATTGATGATGGTCATGTTAAACTGATCACGTCATGTTGTATATAATACGTTAATGTGTATATGAGGGTATCATGATAGAACAAAATAGAATCATCTCAGCACCCCAAGAACAGATGGCTGTTTGCCTAATCTTATGGCAAACTTCGTTTCCGATAGTCGTTTTTCCGCTTTAATACTCTCGAACGCCCTACCAACGTTAGCATCAACCTACTCCAAACAAGACAGATGATAGCTACCATTCAACCCCCACAATCTTAACACCCCTCGCACACCTCTCGATCTCCTTCTGCAACTTTCCTGCCGCCAATCCTCCACCAGCACCTTTATTCGCACCATTATTCGGCTTTCCGATGATAACATGCGTAACTGACCGAGCGAAGACGAGCGAGAGTTTCGCGCCGTTAGACACGAGAAGGCGCTTAAGTTTGTGGTCTGAGATGAGCGGCATTGTCGAGCCGTTGAGGTAGATTGTTGTTCCGGTGAGTATCTTTTTGGATGTCGGGGTGATAGATGCAGGTGTTGATGCGGGCGCGGGTGTGGCTGCATTTGCATGTGTAGCTGTATCTGTATCTGTGTCTTTATGTACAGTTGTAACAGATATATCCCGGTTCGCGTCGTGTGTAGATGTACTTGTACATGCAGATGTAGGCGTTAGCGTTAGCACAGGCATATGCGTGGATATATCGGACGCATCCCCTCGAAAACATTTTGATTTCCCACCCATCTCTATCTCACATGAACCATCCCTCCTCTTCTGCACTCCACCCATAAAATCCGTAATCTCCCTCCCTTCCTTTCCCTTTCCTCTCCCCTCCTCCCTATCCATCATCACCCACTCCCCCTTCCCCCATCCATTGTAGTCAGCATTACAATCTCCAAAAATAAACTGTCGGTGTAACTTTTCTGTCCTCGAATCTCGCCAGGCGGTGGTGTGCGAGAGCGTGGGTCCGTCAGCGCGTTGGTGGCCTGCTGAGGCGGAGGACCAGGGGTCAGAGGTTTGGTGGTTTTTTGGTTGTGGTGGTCGTTCCGGGGGCATTGCTTCTGGTTTTGGGTGTTTGGTGGTTGTGTTAAGTGACACTGAATTGGTGAGGTGAGGTGAAGGTAAAAAGCGAACCATGGGTGGAATGCTGATGTTTTTCTGTTTTGGGTTAGTTCCTTGCATAATTTGAGTTAGTCATTCCAGAGTACAGTATTTCATTGTACCTAAATTCATACATACGTGATTGCTTAATGATGAGCTGTGTATGCCCTTTATATCTATATATAACAACAAGAGCAAAAGTGATCATTACGAGTTTAGCAACATAATTCTCGTAGACAGGCAGCGGAGCGGAGCGGGACAAGAGCGGAAGCACTGTAGCCTATTCACGATTGCCTATTCATATCTAGAAACTTGAATTCGCTTTAAACAGCTCTATCTACACTCTCCACAAAAATACAAATACACCAATATGAAACCCATATCTATCACGACAACCGCTGCCCTCATCATCTCAACGCAAGCTACAGCTAAACCAACATCCTGTTCCACCGTCTCCCCAGTGACACTCACCTTCTACGGATGGCCCGATAACGACCCGCCTAGTGCGGAGATAGCGTATGATTGTGGACGAGGCTATGAAGCCGGAGGTACGCGCTTTTACTCACTATTGAGTGAGTATGAATTAACAGGTGTATGCAGGAAACGGGACATACGACAATCCTCTAACAGCTGCAAGTGCGCCGGGTGAATTTGATGAATGCGAGATTGTCTATCTGCCGTATATTCAGAGATATGTACGGTTTGAGGATACATGCGCGGCGTGCAGTATGTTTTCCTATGTTTATACATATGTAAATGTATATATATGCAATGCACGTGCATGCGTGCTAATGAAAAAGCAGCCACGAACTGGGATAAAAAGCAACACCACATCGATATCTGGATTGAATCAACGGAGTTTGATGAAAGTGGAAAGGTGCTGGGCTGCGAGGATACTTTGACGCCAAAACATGGGATTCGAGTGGTTCGGAATCCAGGGGAGAAGCTTAGGGTTGTTGGTATGTCTCCGGGCACCGCATACAGGAGGTAGATCTACAGTATGTATGCTAACAAGGTTTAGAGAAGCCGCTATATGCAGATGGAAGGTGTTATATCGAGCTTGCAGGGTATAGCAATACGGAGTCTTGTGCTGATGCTGGTCCTGGGTCGCTTGATGTCGGGGATGAGCATGACCACGAGCATGAATATGAAGGCGATGATGACGAAGACGGTGAAACGGTACGTATGCACTCATCCTACACTATAACATCCACTGACCATATTAGACTTCCTCAGCAAAATCCATATCTAATTCAGTCCGAGATTCTAACCTTGTAAGTACTCCGTACCATGCTTCCCGTCAGATATATGCAGCTAACCAAATAGGGATTCCTCGTGCTCGCCGTTGCTTATTTCCTTTTTCAGTAATGCACAGGGTACCTAGCTTATACTTGCTTTAATGAATGCGAGATCGGTTTCATATATAAGTCAAATGATATAGATCGACTACTTGCAGTGATGCCAGTATGCATCTTCCCGTCTACACTTATACAGAATTAGTCAGACGCATAAATGAATAATAACAAACCTCGGAGGACTTCTCTCCTCCGGCCAACCCCGAGTATTCTGGATTACTCGCCCGAGTAAATCCCCAGTATAACACTAATAATGTAGAGGCCCGATGACAGAGTGTCCTGCATGCAGCAAGGCAGAAATACGGTGAATCTAAAGTATGGCACGGGGTATACCTCCCCTCCAGAGAAGTACTCCGTACATAGTGGCTGCTACGTCACGGTGGCTGACAGATGTCAAGCGGTATGCAATCCATTTCACACACCGGCATTGGATCAGATCAGATGGGGACGGAGACGGAGATGGAGATGGAGGGGGAAAAGATGGGACGATGGAGGGATTGATGATCTGGCGGCAAGACTCGCATATGCAGCGGGTGTATGCATTGATAGTAGTAATCTACACTGAAAAGTGAACAGTCCAGAACATGGATAAGAAAAGTCCAAGCAAGGAGGGGTGGGTGGTGGAGGGGGGCAAAGAGGAGCAAGAGAGGGATGACAACTCACTCGCTTCTGACGTGGTCGCGTCCACCGCCAGTCATGCCGCGTCACCTGACTGTTACACTGTATTGTCTTACCGTACAGAGTCAGAGGAGTGGTAAAGTACTCCGTACTACAATGAATTGGCGATTCATGACTGACCATTGCTTGTTAGGTGTTTATATATCCAGGGAGATAAGCAGTTAGAAATGTAGGTACTATGCATGTGAGGTAAAGGGTCACACAACTGCACTTGAGAGAATTTGGAAACAGCCAGTGTTATGCACCACGGATAGAGCCGTGGCAGCTGCAGGTACAGCCGTACTGTTTCGTACTTGTACAGAGTACAGAATCATTAAGAATTTTTACAAAGTCCTCTGTACAGAGAGTCAGTCATGGATGCCCGAGTCAGAGAACGAGATGATTGGCGGAGGATCACCCATAAATACCCGACTTGCATGAACCTGTACGATACATGTGTGTAAGTACAGACAGTGTACCGGTACTGTAAGTAACACTGCACGCGCCGATCCTGTGATGAGAGTGGGGCCTGTAAGCGCCAAGGATTTCCCCTCTTTGATTCCAGGTAGTGATTGGCCGCTGCAACGCCTGAAATATGGCTGGCCATGGCTGGCCCGCTGATCTGCTATGCGTAGCCGGCGGGTGTCGGGCCGTGATGCTACATCTCTACTTACGGAGTACAAGTACATGCTTTATCAAGTAGAGTATGTACGGAGGAGTAATATTCTACTCTCTACAAGTACTCTGTATACAAGTGTATGATGATAACGGTCAACGATTATGGTATCTATACTGATAAATGGTTAGGTGATGCGTTGTCCCCACGCAAGGGGTTAGAACCGGTCAGCCGGTGAACAAGCCTATCAGAAGAGCCAGCGAAAGCAGGGATAGGGTGGTTTCAATTGTGTGACGGGGCCAGGAGGAGAGCGGTGAAATAATATCCCTTGCTTGCTTGCCTTGCCAGATGGAAGATTCAATATAATACCTGGACTGGCGATCCCAGGGTGCCCGTATCGTGGTGAGTTCTGAGCCACTGGTTCTCTGAATCCTTGTCAAACTTCTCATGTCTGTGCGACAGTATGATACGGTAATACGCGGGCGCTAATGGATCGTAGATCTACTCTGTACTTGTACATAGTAGAGCAAGTATTCAATCGAGCACTAGAGATGGGAGTGTACTAGTACTAGTACATACAAGTGCTCTGTACGGAGTACAGAGCACTTGTATGTATGTACAGTAATGGCCGTTATGCATCGGGCAGCTGCGCGTAGTACCCAGAACTGGGACTAGCATCATCCCGGCAGCTCAGGTCGATCGAATTACTTACAGGTGATCTGACAAATTCAATCCTTGTATGGTCCTTGCTTCTATCAATTGAGTATGTATCTATCTGTATCTGTCTGTACTCCGTATGAAGAGAAAAGGACTCTCTGTAAGCGTCTAGCGGTGACCTGCGGGGACAGTGCGTGAATTCTAGTTCGACAGCTTTGCTAGTTCTTCCCTGTCTTTCCGAAGAATATTGTTGAAAATCCACTTCTAATAATTTATTATTATTATTATTCTAGTTCCGGAGAGTGGCACTGGCACTAGTATCTGATGGCAGCTCTTCCTCTGTTGGGTTTAGAGTCTTGTCCACCGCCCGCTGGTCTTGTCTGCCAGTGAAAAAGACCGCTCTGACCGGACTGAGAGAGCATCACCTCTTTTTTCTTCTCTTTCTCTTTCTTACATATATTCTTTCTATCTTCGTACATTGTTTATTCGATTCCTTCAAGGACTCTTGGTCGGAATAGAATTCACGTGCAGGTAAGTTTGATGATGATTGTTATGTTATGATTGTTTCTTTTTCGCGTCGCGCCTTGCTGCATCGAGTCTATCCACAATAATCCCTTCCGAACGACGGCAGAAGACAACCGACAGAGACAGACAGCAGACAAGAGACAGAGACAAGCAGCCGACGCACATAGCAAACTCAATCAAGCGGTGTCCCAAAATATCTTTATCCCTTTCTTCATTACTGCGTTGTTCGGTGATGATTCCATTGCATGTTGCCCTCCAGACTGCCATCACCGCCATCCTCATCTGAACAAGTGGCTCTTTTTATTATTATATGTTTTTTTATTATTATTATTTTTTTTTTTTTTTAAAAAAAAAAAAAAAATAAGAAAAATTTCTTTTTCTTTGGTTTTATTTTGGTTTTATTTCTTTTTATCGTTATTACTTTCTTGAATTATTGTCATTACTACCAATTGTTGTGGCTCTACCGTTCTTCCCGCTCACTGGGTCGATCGCTCCGCTCGCAGTTCTCTTTCTTATATCTACCACTCGTCCTTCTACCACGGTTCATTCCATCAGACTTCTGTCTACTGTTCTGTGTTCTAAAAAAGAATCACATCCACATACCGCTCTCCATACATACAGATACAGATACACACACTTACATCCACGCTTATCGGATCTCCTGCGTTTGCTGCTCCTGCTGCTGCACGGGCCCAGCCTCCAGCTGTCTCTCTCTGTCGGTCTACTGTCGGTGTCTCGCTGCATCATCCCTTCGTTTGTTCGCCTCACACATACTTCCTTCTTCCTCCACCTCCACCTCTTCCCCATACATACATATATCTACTGCCCAACCCCCATCTTGTCTCGCTCTGTTGCTTGCCTCCGTCTCGCATGATCTAACGTTGTTACGATTTCTTCCTTTTTTATTTTGTTTATTTATTATACTTATACTTTTTTTCTTCTTAACTTAGAAAAAAGAGACTGCACGATTGACGCCCTGCTTACGACCTGTTACGATTCTCGCCTTTAGATCTGCTGCTGCTATACATACAACGTACATCCACTTCGCATCGTCTGTCCTCCTTCAATTTGACGACTGAAACGTGACCCATGAACTTTTGCCTCTTCTAGCCTTGCCTCTTCATGGTTCCTTGCTGGTGATCTCAATTATTACCATCACCTCCCAGAAAAGCTTAGATTTCTTGCATCTTTTCCAGCGTCCTTCGAGCGTTTTTTAACGGTTACGACCTGCCACGATCTACGCCACGACTGCACAGCCTTTGCATTTTCTTGCATCTGTTTGGCATCATCTTTTTCCTTTTTCCTGCCAGCCATCTTTTGTGTTTGATTCTTATAACCGTGCATGCCGATACTTCTTCGGTTCTTTACCACTGCACTTCTCACATCTCGTTGAAATATACGGCGTGTCGAACATCTTTTAGTTCGACAGCCTTCCAAGCATTCTTGCTTGTTACCCTTTTTCTAGCCGGTTCTCTGACCAACCGAAAAACTGGAGCTCCCGTCGATCTCGCAGGTCCATATGAGAGGTCCTGCTGAAATCCCTTACTACAACCCTCACGCTGCTGAACGGCCGTTGTTGCCCGGTGACAAACTCCCTGCCTTGAGCCTGCCCACGGCCTCGCAGTCTGCCTACCGGACCGCCTACCCTGACCCGTCCATCACCGGCTCTCACACTTCGAGTACGCGCACCAGTCTCTCTGGTCCCACCGCTGCTCTCCACGACAATCGCACCCCGCCGCCCTCTGCTGATCTCGCTACTAGCGGCTCTGCGGATTATACAGTGCCCTCCACTGTCAGTGAGAGCTACTACCCTCCTCCTCATCCCATCAGCAGCATGAACCACACCCCTCCATACATGGACGTTCACTCGTCGCACTTGTCATCTGCTCAGCCGTATGCTTCGCAAGCTGCCACGGCTGGTGGCATGTCTCATTACTCTTACCCGGGACAACCCCCGGTCTTGCAGCCGGCCTCGACTACCTACGGACCCGCCAGTTCGTACTCGCAGTATGCCTACCCTGGGGTAACCTCTCCCCAGTCTGCCACTCAGCCACCTACGACCTCCATGACTGCCGCCCAATTGCTGCCATTGCCAGGTGAGTTTTCTTTCACATCAATATTCCTTTACCATACTAACTGGAACAGCTGTCACCAATCCCTCTGTGGCACCACCGTACGGAAACACTAGCGGCAGCCCGACGCAGGGATATGTGTATGATACCACTGGTCAGATTGCGCCTCCCGGGGCCAAGCCACGTGTGACGGCCACTCTGTGGGAAGATGAGGGCAGTCTTTGCTATCAAGTTGAATCCAAGGGTGTCTGTGTTGCACGAAGAGAGGGTAAGACAAGTCTTGCACCATGCTCTAACGACAGAGGCTAACATGTCCAGATAACCATATGATCAACGGTACCAAGCTGCTCAATGTCGCTGGCATGACTCGTGGTCGCCGTGACGGTATCCTGAAAAGCGAAAAGGTCCGTCATGTGGTCAAGATTGGTCCTATGCACTTGAAGGGCGTGTGGATTCCATTTGAGCGGGCTTTGGAATTTGCCAACAAAGAAAAGATCACGGATCTGCTGTATCCCCTGTTTGTGCATAACATTGGTGGTCTGCTGTACCACCCTACCAACCAGACCCGGACCAACATGGTCGTTCAAGAGTCGCAGCAGCGACGACTGGAAGCCCCTCAGCTTACCCGGACCCCGGGACCACAGTCGTCTGCCCTGCATCATCACCACGCACTGCAGACACCAGTGCCCTCGCATCTGCCTCCACACAGCATGGCGTCGCAGCCGGGCCGACCGGCCCTTGACCGGGCACACACCTTCCCTACTCCTCCGGCCAGTGCATCGAGTCTCATGGGCATCACGAACCAGAACAGTTCATATGAGTGGGGCAGCCAAGTGCAGAACTCGCAGCCGCTGTCCATCGATACGACGCTGAACAACGCGCGGTCTATGCCCACCACACCCGCCACGACTCCGCCAAGCAGCCTGCAAGGGATGCCATACCAAACCAGCCAGCCAGCATATGACACGAAGCCGTATTACTCGGCAGCCCCGGCCTCTCACGCGCAGTATGCTCCTCAGCACCCATTGACGACGTACGGACAGAGTCTGCCCTCGTCTACATATGTGAAGAGTGAAATGGGTCCTCCATCGGCACGAAACCCGCCGGAGAGTGAGACTGCTGATGTCAAGCCGCCGGCTAATGGTCAGAACACCGAGGCTGAGCAGGAGTCTGAGTACGTGCAAGACAGCGGTAGCTACAGCAGTGCCAACCGCGGGTCGTACACGTACACCACCAACCCGTCGGTGAGCACGTTGACGGGGGAGCATTCCCAGCTGACCCCCGAGCTGAGCTCTCCATCTCAGCAGAACGGGTCGGGTCGCATGACCCCTCGCACCGGTGGTGCCCCCCCCCCTCAATGGACCGGGTACAATACGCCTCCGCGCCCGGCTGGCGCAGGCAGTCTTTACAACATTGTCAGTGATACTCGCGGCACGCCGGCCAACGGCTCAGAATCTTACTCGGTCGCATCCAACTCCGCTCCGACATACTCGGGGATGAATGGATCGTTGAGTGCTGGCAGTAAGCGTATGCGCGAGGACGACGACGTGGACCAGGTCGTTCGTCCGGACAGTCGGGGTACCGACTATGACAGCAAGCGACGAAAGACCATCACCGAGGTGAACGGTCCTCTCGTTGGACCGCCTCTGATGCAGCCCATGAAGGCCGGTGGTGTTCGTCGTTGTTAGTTTTCTTTTCTGGGATTTGCTGGACAAATGAAATGAAATGGGATTGGGTACCGGTGTTGGTTGAATAGACCACGTTTTTTATATTATTTTCTTTTTCTTCCGTCGTGTTTTAATCTCTTTTCTTGCGGATGGATATGGATGAGCTGTGCATTTGGGCTAGCGTGCCCTTGTTTCTTTTTCTCAAGCCTGGTCAGCGTTATGGTGCTCTTGGTCTCATTTGGCATGTGCTTGTATCTGAAGGGCTTACGACCATGATGTTACGAATTTCCTAGATGTTTTGATTTAGCATGGTCTATTGACCTATAAAAGGGTGGTTACAACAGTACCTGCAATGTAGTTGCGCTTGTAGGACCGGGATTAAGTAGAAAATACAAACTGATTCTGTACATACAGGGTATAATTAACCCACAGACAATAGCAGTAGCATTATGTGTACACGCTTAAAACCAAACAAGAATCCATGCAATCACAACACCATAACCTCGATCATGAGACAAATTACAGCTTAGCAGCATCTTTGACCTCCCCAACCTTCAACTTGGGCGTATACTTCTTCAACACGTTTTCGTTGTGGTACTGCCATCATGGTCATATTAGCCTCATCCTCAACCATCGCATCGCAACCACAATCCAGCATATGCCGTTGCAATCTGTATCCAGGGGCAGGTAGTACCTTCCAAAACTGCTTCGACGCATCCTTTCCCGCAACACGCTTAAGAATCTTCGCACCACCGGGATGCTCGTCGACGAAATTCGTGACGTCGTAGACGTTGCTGTCGATGATGATGTACAGGCCCTTGTCGGGGGTCTTATGCGCGGCGACATCAGCGGGGGTGAAAGATTGGGACATTTTGTTTATTCTATTTCGGAGTATTGGGATTGCGTGGACAAATTCGAGGATGTAAGAATGATGTTGTGGTAGTGGTTTGAAAGGTGTTAAGGTGTTGAAGGAATCCGGGATCTGGGGTCGGCCGAGTAGCGAGGCTCGGAATATGGAGACCGAGCGGAGACTTTGACGGGGTGGGAAATGCCGAGGTTAAAGGTCATTTGCCGCGGTCAGCTATTTGTGTGGGTTTTTATTGGCTACGGATAACTGATTAGTTAGTATGGAAGATGGAGGGTATTAAAGGATAATTGTGTATTCCAGATTTACCAAGGGTATCCTATCCTAGCACTACCAGTACCGTCATAACAACAGAAATATAGAAAAAAAATGAACGACATCAAACCAGATATCACGAATGCAACGCCAGACTCAAAACACATCCTATGGACAAGAAACAAAACATAAAATAAATCATCGCACATGATAACTAGGCTTCCGCTGCTTATTCACAACCGGCGGTGGCTCGTCCACCGGATATGGAGGCCTCGCTTTACCATTCCCACTAACCATCGTGTCCGGCACTGGCATCATGATCCCGCCTACTTCACTCGGGTCATCCGGATATGGGATGGGGGTCTTGGGGGGCACGGGTGGTGGCATGCCCATGCCCTCGTGAAGATAGTCGCCACTGTGTCGCGGGGAGGAGCCGAATAGGTGAGGGAATTGCTCGCGCTGTTGCTGCGAGGTTGGGCGGCTGCGGTTATGGAAGCTGGAGATGTCGCTGCCGGAGCCTCGCGCTGGGTGTGGGTGGACAGCGTCCTGGGGGGTTGGGTGGGCGGGGAGGGTGTCCTCTGATTGGGACGGTGCGTGGTGGCTCGCGGTGGTCAACGGTGTGAAGTCACCTGGAAGCTCAGCAGGCAGTTCGACAGCCATCGGGTTTGATGGTGGGGGTACGGCGTATGTGGGCGAGTGTGGGGAGAGCAGGTTGAGGTTGATGTCTTCTTGGATACTAGAGGTATCACTGGTTCCGCTCGCAACAGCTGCGTGCGCCGACAGTCGCTGATGCATGCGGTTGATCTTTGCGAATTTGACACCTGCGCCGAGAATCATCTTCTTCACCTCTGGTCTGGACAGATAGCGACGGGTGTTGGTGCTGATGTCTGCCAGACGGTTCCATTCGTTCATGCCAAACTCTCCCACACCGACCTCGACGTTCAGACGGTAGTAGTTGTCTTTGCTGACGTTTCGCTTCGCCAGGTGGTTGCGCAGCATGTCGTTGTGAATACCTTCGCATCCTTCGATTTTGGTAATCAGACGTCGTCGCGCTTCGGCAAAGACACCCAATGCATCACCAAAGAAGTCCTCCCACCACTCGTGTTGCCGGTTGTTGGTGCCCGGCGGCCGCTTGCCTGTTCCCACACTGATGAAGACACCGATCTCTCGTCCGGGCCATTCGTTCACGGTGGCTTCTTCCAATACCTGCGGCGCGGGGTTGTAGGTGCCGGGTCCCTCATCGATGAAAAAGCTTTGTCCGATTTGGATGGGTTTGAAGGCTAGACCGGTGGCGGAGGTAGCTCGACCGGCTTGCCAAATGGTGCAGTCGAACTCGGGAGGTGGTTCTTTTCGCGAGTCATAGGAACGGAGGAAGACGGATGAACCGTTGCGAGAAGTGCCTTTGTACAACGCAGTGACAGCACTACGTGAATTAGCGATACGAATATATAAAAAAGGGAAAGAATCTGAAGAGGGAAGAGCTCACGTCTTGGTACGATACTCCCGGTTGTCATAAAGCAGAGCATCCGGGTTCCCCCACCGCAAACCGTTGATAAACGTAGAATTCCTCTGGCTCACGGGAGTCGACGGATGCGACGGCCCGCGGGCACTGTAACTCCCCCGGCTGACGGTGCGCTGGGGAATTGAATGAAGTGAATTAGGACTGAACGGAGCGCTTGCGATGGAATTGCGATCGCTCGACGCCGGCGTAATATCATTTCCCTCAGCCTCAAACACGGTATGTTCCCTCACACATTCACGGATCGCCTCTTCAAGTTTCGAAGCCTTGAACAGCGTAGACCGATACGGAATCCCAGCAAACGTCTTGTCGGTCTCGAAAACGCGCTTGGTCATGCGCGTGTAGACTTCTTTGCAAGTCTCGAGGTCGAGGCGTAAGCGCCCCAGCATAAGGGCGATCAGACCGCCGGTACCGGTGCCGACGATGAGGTCGAAGTGATCGCATGGTTTGGGGATTTGGTCGCGACGAGGGGCTTTTCCTTCAGATTCGACGTAGGTGCGGTACATGAGTTCCTGGAGGAGGATGAGCATCGAGTATCCTCGGACGCCACCGCCATCGAGCGATAAAACCCGCAACGGGGGGCCCTTTGTTGTGTCTTTGCGATGGAGATTGACCGTGTTCATGTTGATATCCATGTCGGGGTCCATGTTGGCAATCTTTCACCCACTAGGGGAGAAAAATCGATGAGAGAACTTCCTAATAAAAGAAAAGCAGGCGAAATGACGGTGCCTTGACTCTGGATTTCAGCGGACGGAACCGTGGGTCAGGAATCGCGCGGTTATAAATAGTAGTCAGATGACTGCAAGTAAGCAAAATAGATTGTTGTCTTAAAACAATCACGAATAGTAGAAGCAGAGAGAAGAGAGAGTCAAGAGTAGCCAAAAGAATAGGTAGAGAGAAAGTAGAGAGAGGGTAGTGTGTAGCTGAGAGGCAAAACAAGGACGAACTCTTTTTCAGGAACAGCCACACCCACTGTCCACCACACACTGTATAATTCTCCTAACCCTTCTCAATAATCTGCAATAATATTCCGTATGGGTACTAGAGCACTTCTAGAAACCCAACAGAACTCCCAACATCCCTTTACTTGTGTGCTTTCGCTATCTCGACTGGTGGCTTCAGATGACATAATGTGGCGGTGCTCTGCGTCATGGGGCTGTGTTTCCTAATGGGGTAACTGGGTATACCCGAAGTATACGAGCAGAGACTACGATTGGGCATACAAGTCCCCTCAGCTAGGATACAGGTATTGGCATTTGCATATTCGTGACATCAATCCCTGCATACCCCGGATTGTGTATGGGTACGGAGTATGGAGGAGTCTATGTGCAGGGAATAGACCCGGATCCATGGGGCCATTTGGGCAGACTACTTGACCGAAGGATGTAACCGTAAATCCTGACTATTGTCTCAAATATTCCTATGGTAGACCCCGGTAGATACCTCTAGCATTTTGGTGGGTATCAATTGAGTCACCTTCTATGCCTAGCGGTTGCTCAGCATCTTTCAAGACAGTGAGAGACATCGAGCGTCCATTCTGGATATTGACTGGCAATGTTTGAGTCTAGCAAAACCGAGTATAATGCCATTGTGCACTTGGTCAGAAGACAATAAATCGCCCCAATTACTATCAGGTCATTTGAATCAATCCCACAAAGAATACATGGAGAAATCAACTAGATAGATAGCTCCTCACGGGACCATGCCCGCCTCAAGTCTATAAAAGCCGGTCAATCTCCTTCATTTCACTCATTCCTTTCACGCCACTCTCGACGTTTTATTCGAGGCCTGACAAAATGCCAGCCTTCCCCATCCCCAGACCCCCGGTTCAACCACTAGTTCCCTACCTAGACATGGAAGACACCGGACTCCCCTTCGAGACAGCCCTCCGGCGCCTCCACTCCACCCTAACCGAAGCCCTCACCTTCTTCAATCAGCTAAACCACAGTTTCAACCAAGACATCAAGACCGTCAGCAACTATACCAAGACTCCGGTCCTGGACCAGATCTGGAAAGCAAAAGTTGCCGCTGCTAAGCATGGACTTCCTCAGCAGTTGCCCGAGAGTACCTGGCAGAAACACAAAGCTATGCTGAAGGCCAAGATCATGGGTAGCGATGGCAGCGGTGACAACTATGTCAATTCAAGTGCCGTAACCACCGGCTTCCATGACTACATCAAACGCATCGAGAAAGACCTCTTCGAGACAATCCATGCCCGCTGGCCGCGCGGAATCAAGTCAGGTCTCGAACACGAAATGACGTTCAACATTGCGCTTATCTGTCTGAGCTATACGTATCACCGTATGGCCGAGTTTGCGAGCTATCTGCAGCGGTTCGACAAGGAGATCCAGCATATTCATTCTGTGTTCCGGGGTTTTGTGAGGGATGCAGAATTGTTGCAGATTTCGTTGGAGCAAAACTGGGAGTTCTGGCAGCATTGATTTCTGTTTTTTTTTTTTTTTTTTTTTCCGCTTTCTTGTAATTTCCTTTCGGTTGATTGAATTGTATTTGAATTGATAGTTCAACGTCCATAGAGGAAATGAAAGTATTGAAGTTTTAATTGCGGGATATCCACAGCAACTCACGGCGTTTTGAAGCAATATTTTTGTAACAGATAGCTAAACCGAAGTAAGCAAAAGCCAATGAAGTCATGATATCGGCATGGATCCAGCCTCCTATAGACAGTATTCGGGTTTCGTAAGAGACTGATACTGTAGTTGGAGTGCATAGGCGACAAAAGAAATAGTGAAGGAACCCATGACACTGTACAAGAGTACAGTTGGGTTCAACATACACCATCCACCAAAGATGTAGGTGATGAGTATAATTGCCAATAATACCTTGGTTTATTCCAGCTATTTTGGTGGTTAATCAATCTTTTGAGGTGAGTGAGTAGTGTAAGAGATGAATAGTTGAGCCAGGAACCCCTGCCTGTCATAGGCAGCAATGCCGTCGTTTTGTAGCCCGGTATAAAAAACGAACAAAATATCAAGATCTATTTAAGCAGCCACACTGTTTTACGTTAACCAAGAGTCTTCCAAAGGTTCCTTGGCTGTTGGCTTCTCCTCAGAAATCCAAGGCAGCGTTCTTCGAAAAAATCGAAGAAAGGCAGTCTAACCTCCCAGCTTCTTAAGAGCTTCCAGTGCCCGGCCGTGTGGTATGGGTACACAGCCCAACCAATTCCATACACGGTGATTAGAAATTAGTCGTGTGCTAATACGCCAGAGACATACCCTGCTCGTCCCAGAAGTCCACTCTTGTCTCTCCATTCCTAGCCAAAAATCCAGGCGGCAGTGGTTCAAGTGCAGCAATGAGCTGAGCTATATGAGCAGTATCATAAAGATATTCATCGTCATCACGAGGCGTGAAAAGACCCCTGGGCTCTAGGAGATCCTCAAGCCTGTAGATACTTTAAGTCCATGAGAACATTGGTATAAAGACTAGATGAAATAGAGTAAGGCCAACCCTCCAGGCATCAACGGCATAACTCTACCCAGAATGATGCAGCGTTTCCGAGGCTCAATACTTCAAGGGCATGATATTACCAGCATGAGGTCCAGGGCCAATTCTGGCTTCTCCAAAATCAGTTAGCAGCATTGGTCCTACATCAGGTCGCATGATGCGAGAGATCTATGTACGAGTTCAACTAGGCACAATATCCATTGACTTGGTATGTACTTACCTTAGATCCCGGGCTAGCCAGGTCGCCGACAAAACACCGAGTCCAAGCTTTTCGAGTATTTGGTAATGATCCTGAAAAACCTCGCCCAATCGAATAGGATAGAATCAATCAGCGCTGTAACCAGGCAACTCCTCTTCTTCGACAGGTTCATCAAGCTTGATATTCTTGAAACCACTAGTGGGAAGCAACTGTAGCTCCTTTGCCACCGTTGACATTGTTCCTGTGATTGGCTTTGTTGAAATGTTTGGAAAGAGAGAATGCGCCCATCTGGATTGCTCTTGACTGTGGCCCTAGTTTTCGTACGAAAGAAGTCATGTTGATAGCATCTATTGCTCTACTCATTAGAGGAGTTGTAAGCATAACACAATTTATTGAGTTATTTTAGTTTACTGCGCTTATACAACGACACAACATTCTAATATACCGTCCCAGTCTATATCAAATGTGAGGCTGCTATTTCAGAATCCAGTCGCATAAGATCTAACTTGCTATTGTACTGTACCTGGTGCCGTGTTGATAAAAAGGCCTTTAAGGGCTGGGAATTTGTTCCTTTGGTCTCTTGTTTTGCGAGGCAGAATTGACTAGATAAATGACCAGTCCAAGCATTGCGAAATACTTGTCCGCCTGGTCAAAAGCCGTGTCAGAGTAATCAACCGTGACCAGTTGCTCCTCGCCTTGTTTGTACATGTCCACTTGCGTGGAATAATATCCCTTAAAGTGGCATATGATTCTCCACGGTTGCTCTGAGGCCCCATGTCGTAAATCTCCTTCTATGTTAGAAAGGTTCTTCTGCTTGTGAAGTTGCCGGGTAACTCTCTCACGAGAGACTACTCCCTTTCAATACGAATTTTCATCTCATTTATCAGGCATACAGTGCTCGTCGAATACTTTTGACAAACGTTCAGCATTTTTGATAACTGGAGACTCCCTTGTAATCTCTTTGCGAATAATTTATAGCAGTGTCACCGAAGGTCTTTTCAAACTGGTCGAAGGCTATGCGTCTCTTTTCCGACGGAGGTAGGCATTTTTCGAAAGATAGCCTTATTGAAAGGGCGCACTCCAGTTCAAAGCCCTGAGTTGAAATGTACCAACATCGACATATTCAACGGCACTCGTGGCGAGCCAGTCTAGAGGTTCCGCTGTTTCAAGATAGACCTGAACAACCTGCAATTCATCGGATAAGAAGCAGATTTTATCGGGCGAACCAATGTCATGTCTCACAATCAAACGAGTCCTGAAATCATCTGGAACAAGATATTTATGGAATATGGAATGAGATACACAAACTGTAGAGGTCTACTCCTCTTGGCCTCGCCATGCATTTCGCAGCTATAGCACCCTCCAGCCGCACAGGTCTGACACTGGTACCATTGCTTGGTGATTGCTGTATGAATACAGATACTGGAGAAAGTATCTGAGTATGAAGTACACTATAATAGACATATAGCATATTGATTCTGTCATTCATTCTTCCTTGTGCTTTCCAGCTTTCGTGCGAATCAGGCGATAATGAGCCTTTCAGGATTGCCAAAGCAGACGCCATATCCATTCCATTCCAATACAACTGCTCTAAAACCATTGTCAAGGGTTGAGTTTTCGCAATTGGCCCTTCAATTAAAGCCATAATCTTGGACAGCGGCTTGAGTGCAAGCACACTTCTCTCTTCTTCCAAGTACAGCCGGTGCTGTGTCAGGTAAACGGTCGAGTTTAGGAGATTCAATGTCGATTCGGCCTCGACGGGCTCATTTTCACTGGTACTCTCCTTCTGAGAGTTTTCCTGGGTGATGATTCGATAGGTTACTGTGAATTGGAGGCCGAGGGGCATGTCTTCGGAGCAGATGATTCCGTCCCCTTGTGACGTTAATGTGGTTTTGGTAGTCGCGTTTGACGGACGATGGTGAATGTGGTTGAATGCAAGTCTGTAAGTTTTCCCTCGAGCACTTCAGTGGACCAAAACACCTGCACGAGCTCAGAACGGTCCTGTAAGATTCCGAGGACATGTTGTGTATTTAGAGTCTCTGGGACGGAATAGTGCTCTTTTTTGCGATTTTGGCTGAGCAGAAGACTATATCTGGGTTAATCACTTATGGGTATATGTATAATAAAAGGTACTCACCAGGAAGACGCGTTGTTTGGTCGTTCGTACTTGTAGTTGGAAGGAAGTTGGTTAAAAGTCGGAAACTAAACAAAGCAACCGTGGGTAAATTTTGCCTTATTTCCACTGTACTTTTTTCATAGTGGATTGGATCTCTCGGAAAATGTGTGAATATGGCCTAATTGCCTGACATCATGATTATTATACAGTAACTAACAATTATTATCATGCAAATGCCCATCATGCTAACATACAAAGTGGTATCCTAAAAGCCAAACAAAATGCCTCTATAAAAACGAAACGAAAACCAAAACGCATGTACAATTACACTTTACTATCAAAAGCCCTTAAACGGATCCTCAAACTTGGACCCAGACGTTTCAAAGCTCCCCCTCGGCTGCGGATATCCATACCCACTCGACAACCCCGAGCTCCACTGGCTACTCGACGGCTTCCTCCGATGTCTCTGCCCCTGTCTTGAGCTCCCACGCGGCGGCCGATTCGCATCCGTCTGGTCGATAAAGGCCTCCATACGGACTGTCCCAATAGCATCGAAAAAGTTATTCGTCGCGCTGCCGGCCACACTGGATGAAGGGCCGCTGGCCTCAGAAGTGCGCTGGCTGATGCTTGTGCGGGTGCTGCTTATGCCGTTGGTTGGTATTGAGGGTGGGTAGATGGCGTCGAAGGAGTTGTTATTCGAGGCCGGGCCCATGGCGGAGAAGTTGCGCATGGATAATGGTGGTGGCATTCGGGATCCGGTGTTGCTGCGCTTGCGATTGTGTTTGCTCGGGAACATGGGGACAGTTGGGGGAGCGGCGGCATCGAACATTGAGTCGTTGTCATCCATGGGGTTTTCGGGGACTGGGGCGGGTTTGTTGTTGTTGTTGTTGGCGAATGGGAGCTTGGGGTATGCTCGAGGGAACTTGGCTGCTTTGAAGGATTCGCGGATGGGGTTCTTGCGTATACTGCCGGTTGAGGCCGGGGAGGCATTTGTCTGCGCTTGCGGGATTGGCGGGAGGTTTGCGATTTCGTCCAGGCCCATGGAGGAATGGCTAAGGAAGGAGAGGGCTGTGAGCCAGACGTAGTGGCGCTCCATACTTGTGGCGGTGAATTTTAATGCTCGTTGAGGTGTGAGGACCAGGATTGAGCGATTGAATTGGCTTGTTGGGCTAGAGCCCTTGGGCAGAGGGTTGTCATCTTTGACATCAAGGACGGATTGAATCGTGACTGTTTTCAATTAGTATCCTGCTTGAACCGAACAGTGGGAAGGGACTTACACTTCCGACCACTCTTGCCCAACAACGCCGGTCCACTGGTGGGCTGCTTGCTACTCCATATGATAGCCCGCTCATACGGTGCCAACCAAACCCATCTCTTATGCCTCACACCACTATTCGTGATACTAGTCGACACCTCATCTGCATTCTGACCCTCCCAGTTCTCCTTCGGCTCAGAAGAGTTTCCAAACGACTTTCGCCGGACGTACTTAAACATCCACTCGCCAATCATAGTCTGCGCAATCGCGTCGACCACGCTCGTCTGCTGAATCGACGTGGCTGTCGAATCCTGTCGGTCACGGTCGAATACACTGCCACTACCGCTGCCGCTGCCACTGCCACCACCATTGCCATGGTTAACACTATTGACACCACCGTACGCAACATCACGCCATATAGATTGCCTCCGCTGCGCCGGATGCGGCTGGTCTTCGATGATATCATCAAAAGGCAGCGGCGGCCGCCTAGGGCTATCAGCCGAGGAATTCGATACACCGGGGGATGAGAAACTACCAAGCACATCCGGCTGAGAACCCTGTGAGACAGTGGTCGCAGACCGGACCCGACGCAGAGTCGGCTTTCTGTTGATCGGGGGGCGTGGGCGATCGGAGAAGTTCCTGCTGTTGTACGATGGCGTGGGGCTATCTCGTCCGTCGCTGCCGGTAGTGGGGAATCCTCTCGAGCTGTGTCGGATTGGGACGGGGAATGGTGGTGCGACACTGGTGACACTGCCGCTATCGGTGCTGGGGTCGCTTGCGCTGTGGGCTCGCTTCTTTTGGTGCGCTGCTGTACTGCTGGTGATCATGGCAGCCCGGCGGATATCTTGCTGTCGAGCCGCGGAGCCCTTCCTGTGAGAAGACACGATAGACTCAGTACCATCATTGTTCATCGACGATTCAAGCTGCATCTTAGCATCGGAGAGATGCTCTTCGATCTCAGGCAGGGTGGTGTTGTCCAACAAAGGACGATGCTGTGTGGACACCATCTTCCCTCCCCTGAGAGTATACGTCGCAGTAGGACGGCTCATCAACTCATCATCGCTAAACATATCCATCTTCTTGTCGAAGCTTTCTTCATCACTCAGGTCCTCAAATCCAGCAAAGAGACTACTCGTCCTCGGCGGCCGGCGCATACCCGGCTTCGACCCCTTGGACAGAGGCCCATTATCGTTATTCCCAGGGTAAACCTGGATCTGCCCCAGCGGTCTCTCCGAAGAATCACTGGGCCGCCTTTCAGCAGATGGCATTGGCTTATGCTGAGGTTGGGGTTGAGGTCTCTTCTCCTCCTTAGTCGCCCTAGGCATAGGCATGCGGTACGGTTGAGACTGCGTAACCCGGGCCTCATTCCTGAGCGGGATGTCAGGGATAGCAGATGGTAATAAACTTGCCGGGAGTTTCACGGGCCGCTGATCAATCCGGATCTCCTCCGTTTGGATTGCAATCGAGATACCCTGGGTGGGTTGGGCGGTCGTTTGACAGGATGCGCTCTTTGTTTGCGGGGGTAGGACCACACTGCTGCGAGGGGATGGGGGCTCAGAGAGAGGTGGGTGGATTGCGATTGTTGGAACTTCCATACCAGGAGAAAGGGCGTCCTGCGGGGATAGGCTGTTCTTATTCTTCTGGGTATGGGGAGGACTGCTCGGGTCAGACTCTGTCTGCGTAAATGCGGAGACCATGGTGAGCTGGACAGGAAGTGATTGCGGTGATGTTGGCGATTCAGGGAGCTTTGGTGTGTAGGGAGGACTGGGGAGGTTGCCAACAGTCTGGCATGAGGCCGACACCATATCAATGGCCAGGGTCGGGGTGCTGCTGTCCTTTGTCTGGCTATCTTTGGCGGCAGGCAGGCTTTGTGCCTTAGAAGATGGTGGTGAGTATTGGGTACCAACGTCGTGATACACATGAGGCGACGCAGGGAGAGGAATCTTGCTCGGACTCTTGATTGATTCCTGAGCCGCATCGAAATCGGCACTACCGCGATTGCTTTCAAGTCCGAGACCAAGGATCTTCCTCGCTTTCATTCCCACGGTATGCGACATCTGGGAATGCGCAGACGCAGGTCGCGCTTCTTCTGGAAGAGCTCCAGGCGAGTCCGATATCGAATCATCGTCCAATGTAACAAACTCTTCATCGTCGCTGAATTCGAGCTCCTGAGCGAGGTTCAAGCTGTTATCGCTCTTGTTTTTGATCTTGGCAAGGCTTGCGACGGAGTATCTGGCATTATGCATGTCGCCTTCGTCGGAGCTTATGCTCGTCATGCTAGTGCGCCGCCGGCCCTGGCTGCTAGAGTAGACACTAGCTGTGTCACTGTTATCTTTGGTATGGTTCGCGAGATGTTCGCTACTTTCAGCCTTTGGTGTCTCGTTGATTGAGTTGGAACGAGCTGCTTGGGCGGCAAGTTCGTTCAAGACAGTCTTGAGACGATTCTCAACAACATGAACCTTGCGCTCCAAATTTCTCCGTTCATTATCCCATGACTCACGCTCGCGGTCCCAAAACAAATGGGTCCGTTCGACATCCTCTTCGCGACTGCGAGCTTTCTTCTGGCTTTGTTCCAGCTTCTTGCGGATGTCGGATATGTTCTCTAATGCGTCGTCCCGCTCCTTGGCCAGTTCAGTCAGTGCAGACGATGATCCACCTTCGAGCAGTTTCAGCTGGTGTTTCAGCAATCGCGTCTCCTTGGAGCTATGCGATAGGTTCGCGGTCAGATCTTCGTTTTCCGTCCGGCACTCGTCCAGACTCCGCTCGAGGATATCTATCGACTTGGACTTGCTCTCCGCCTCGCGGCGCAGATTCAGGATCTCGCCTACCAACGAGGCATGCAGCGTCGGTGTGAATCTTCGTGGATCAAATGGTCTTAGCCCCTCGTCCTCGGGGACTTCGTCGATATCCTCGCTGTTTCTATCAGGGGAAACACTCTGGTTTGGCCCGGAAGTAGGCGATATCGAAGATTGTGTTGATGAAGAGTCCCTCCGTTCGAGCCACAATGAAGACGTCTCCCCAGGCCCATGTTTGGTGGGCGTTTCAGCCGGGGTATAGGCAGAAGCCTCAGAGGCTTCAGAAGAACTTTGGCCGCTGCTCATGGCGATAAATCGATGATGCGCATCAGATTATCTCGAACTATTCACCAAGATAACTGGCCGCGCAGTGGACTGTCTATAGATCCCGATATAGGTCAGGGCTGTCTTTCAAACCCATTCATACACTCCGAGGATGTAATGATATGAGGGAAATCGTGGTGGCAATGTGCGGTGGCAGGAATCAGCTCCCCCTACTGATCTGTGGTCCCGAGTATGGCCGGCAATGCTTTCGGAGGATTATCTAGATGGATTGTGAGGTGTCAGCCACTTCTACCCATTGCGCAAGCAAGGGAAACATATTGATCAATTCCCAGCATAATCTGACTAACCGAGATGCAGGATTGTCAGAGGATGTACTTACCTCATACCAATTAGTTCTGTACAATAAAGTACAGGGGAACAATGGAATAGGGCACTGCAATAGAGTACTTTAATAGAGCGAGCACGGACTGGACGGCAGTCCTTCTCTTCTTTCGCCCAATCGACGTTTACAGGATGAGACAAAGAATGAAAGAAAGTCCGCGAAAGCTCCGAGAAAATAAAATCCAAGATCGTCAAGATATACTCTGCGACGACAGCTGACGGAGACACGGCTTAGGATCAGCGTCGCTCTGACA